GGGGCATGCTGCAGGCGCAGAGCGGTGAGATAGGGGACTGGGGAAGGAGGACACAGGTGCGTTTGTAGAACGTTCTTAGTTAAATGATTTTTTGTGATTTTTTTTTTTTTAAGTAGAAGTGTTAGTAATCAAAAGGCATTATTAAATGTTAAGATGACCGTCTTGATGCTATATAGGTAAGTTTAATTACATTTAGTCAAAAGTGGGTTTGTCTGGTCACCTTCAAGCATCTTTCTTCGTGGTACACTGGTTTTATTTTGCGCACCTGCTGCTCAGACATCCAGCAATGTCTGCCGGTAACTGAGCTCTGTGAGGGCAGCGGCCGTGTTTGCTTGTGTGTCCGCGGAGTAATTCTCAGTTACAGCAGTTTTTTCTTTTAGCCGCAAGCATTTCCTTCGTATCATTTAAACCGACTGGGCTTTTGCAGCAACGTGGACGGGTTCGGACTTGGAAGCGGAAGCCCGCATGACCACCTGGCACATCATGATCCCCTCCGACGTCGAGCCAGATGGCAGTTACAGCCAGGACATCAGTGAAGGTAAATCCTGAACTGATTCATTAGCATGTTCACTAATAAAGATGAAATCAGTATGGTAGTGTCTGTCTCCCCAGCCATACTGTGTGGTAGTTCTGCACTTGGTTTTATCCTTTGGAAATCCAGCACCCATTCTTTCTTTTCTTTCATCCATTTAAGCATTATTCTTCTTTCACCAGACTTTCTCGAACCCCAGACACAAAAGACACAGTGATTGTTTCCATCCCCGAAAGAACTGACATTCCTTCTCAAAACGAGGTCCTCAGACTAATAATGCCAGCATCATTGGGTCAGTTGGTAGAAAAACAGATCGTCTGGTCCCACTCGGATCTACTGAATCAGAAACTCTGGGAGTGAGGACCAGCAATCTGCTGTAACAGGCCCTCTAGGAGATTCTGATGCTTGCTGAGGATTGACCGCTCTAGGGGAAGAGTCAGACAAATTGACAAGGAGTCCAAAGCAAAACTGAATTTAAATAGTAAAAATCTTTTAAAAATATGTATTATTTATTTTCTTGTGCAAAATATTCGAGAACAACTGACTTAGTTTTGAACTCACCTTAAAAGCTAAAAATAAAGGTGAGTTTGAACTCACCTTTAAAAGCTAAAAATCACTTTTAAATGAGAGATAAGTTCCTACCTGTCAGAAGCTAGATAATGTAAATTTCTAATTTTATAAAGAAAAATACAGTCTTTCTTCTGAATGTAAAGATTTCTAAAATAGTTTCCAAGTAGTTAAGCATGGTTTGGGTTAGCTAAATAACCTTTCACTGGGCTGGATATAACATGAGCATTGTTTTTACGATTAAATACTGTGGTTGAAATTCCTAGATTTGAGACATGAAGAAAAATTACTGTATTTTAGTTACTTGCTTGCTTTTTTTTTGTTTGTTTGTTTGTTTGTTTGTTTTTCTCATTTACCAGGGCGTCAGCTTCTCATAAAAGCTGTCAACAGAGTTTGGACTGAGCTGATTCATAGCAAGAAACAAGTTTTGGAGGAACTTTTCAAAGTCACTCTGCCTGTGAATGACAGGGGCCACGTGGACATCGCCATAGCCAGGCCGCTCATTGAAGAAGCCGGTTTGAAGTGCTGGCAGAGTCACCTGGGTAAGGGGGCCTGCAGGCATCGTGTGACCATACAGCCACCACATACGGGTCCACTTTAAATATGCCATTACCACATTCATCAGGCTGCATGAGGTGGCTCACTCACGCCTGTCATCCTAGCACTCTGGGAGGCCAAGGCGGGCGGATCGTTCGAGGTCAGGAGTTCGAAACCAGCCCGAGCAAGAGCGAGACCCCATCTCTACTATAAATAGAAAGAAATTAATTGGCCAACTAATATATATAGAAAAAATCAGCCGGGCATGGTGGCACATGCCTGTAGTCCCAGCTACTCGGGAGGAGGCTGAGGCAGGAGGATCACTTGAGCCCAGGAGTTGGAGGTTGCTGTGAGCCAGGCTGACACCACGGCACTCACTCTAGCCTGGGCAACAAAGTGAGACTATCAGAAACAAAAACAAAAAAAAAATAAAGCGTTCATCAAAGAATACTGTGATGGCAGTAGAAATTAAAATCTATACAATCTAACCATTCTAGAATGATTATATTGCGATTTGAATTTTCTTCTTGTATTTTTTTTTTTTTTTTACAATCAAGGTATATTATACATCTGCCATGTCTGAGTTTAGAAAATAATACATTGCTTACAGCTTTAGTGTGGTCACTGTCTTAGCTCTGGGTCCATGACTCTTATCCATAATTCTGAAATTCAAACAGCCCCGAAAACCCAACATTTTTCATTAATGTGGTGCCAAAACTGACTTGGTAGCAGAACCTAACTTGTCTTTCTTTGTCCTGCTTGGTGTGAATATTCATACATTTTACTGCAGTAATATCATATGTTAAATTACAGCTTACTACCCTCGACCCTCTGGTGGAATTATATAACATACAGTGTATGTACCGTATATCCTTTTTAAAATCCTAAACTTAGTAAGTTCCAGCATTTACCCAGCACCAAAGATTTTCGATAGGGGATTGTGAATTATTATTATTATTAGCATAGAAATGCATTACAGTTAAAATAAACTTGCATATTCATTGCAGAGCTTTGAGACTTCAATCAAAATATAAGTGCAGCTAGTATAATAACTCACAAGCGGCCATCCTTAAATAAATGTGTGGCATCTAAAAGAAATGTCTGCATTGGTAAAATATGCTGCTTTTGATAACTCTAGCATTGTGGTTTGTAACCGTGGTATGAAAGTATTAAAAGTAAGGCTCATACATACATGGAGAAATTATATGATGATGTAATTTTCATTTCACAGCCCATGAAAAGAAATGCGTAAGTCGAGGAGAAGCTTTGGTACCCACGACACAGTCCAAGCTGTCTCGCGTCAGCAGTGGCTTTGGTCTTTCCAAGTTAACAGGATCAAGGAGGAATCGAAAGGAAAGTGGTCTAAACAAACACAGTCTTTCCACCCAGGTACTTTTGTGTAGTTTCATTGATGCTATTGTTAGCAATTTATATTTCAAGGTTTAGTCGTCGTATCTTATCATACACGATACCCTTACTATGCGCAAGCAGATGATGTGAAATGGAACTTTTCTGTGTTTTCCCTTTAGAAAGGAGAAGTAACCCGGATTATGGGGAACCTCTTCCATTTTATTAGGGTAAAATTGCATTATGGGTGCTGTGTACTTCCATCCACTTCATAATTGGACAAAAGATGAGATTTGTAGACTGATAAACGATCAGACTGTGGATAATTTTCCCCTAATTTTCCCAGCTTTCAGTGTTACTGATAGTTCTGTAAATTTTAAGGCAATAGCAGAGCAAGGCTTTTCGGAGTTTTTTGTAATTTTGTTGTATAGACTTGTGATTGATATTTTTAAAAAAAACTCGTCTACCTCCAGCATTGACTTTGACCTCATCACACTTCCCTCCACCGTCCCAGAATCTAAGTGGCATATCGTGTGTCAGGTTGGGTGTTCCAGGAAGAAAACTCTGAGATGGAGTTTAGTGCAGAGGGTGTCTATTAGGCGGTGCCGTTGGTGTCCGTACCTGTGGGAGGGAGGAGAAGGAAGCGCAGGACTGGGCACAGGGGAACATCAGGCTGCAGTGCGGGTCTGGTGACAGCCTCCGCTGACCTCATTGGGGTCCTGAAGCCAAAATAGCCTATCAGAGTCGACCTGCCCAGAGCCGGAGTGGCTGAGCCTTACGCTCAAATCAGCCAGTCACTGGATGTGGGTCACCCTGCATCTCTCTGCAGCCGACATGGTCCCCAAAGGTGCTGATGGCACTTGGGGAGCTGGGCAGCAAGCCCTTCCTTGAAGGGGGACTGGGGACAATGGCAGGACTGCAGGACTCTGCCCATCACACAAACTTCCATTCGATTCATCATATATAGAACTCAGTCCGGACTTTTGGTTTGTATTTTCTGTAGTGTGTGCTTTTTTGACAGATTTGCAACTAATTATTAAGCATTGATTTCAAGGATAGTTAATTAACTCTTTGCAGGAAATCCATGAACTAATTAAGACTCTTTCTATCCATTGTTAGGAGATTTCTCAGTGGATGTTTACACATATCGCTGTTGTTCGTGACTTGGCAGATACACAGTACAAGGAGTATCAGGAGGTAAGAATCTATAATCGTAATGATGGGATCGGACTCCATTCCTCCTGACATCTTCCTACCCATTTTAAGGGTACGTTGCTGAACTGCATTCGTCATCAGATGATTTTAATTATCCCTGCCATCAGCTTCTCACGCCATTGGTTTTAATATGAAAAATTTGAATCTTCTGTAAACTAACTGCTTTTGAAAAAGCGACAAGTGAAATCAGCACAGCTGAATGCTACTGGTATTTACTACTGACATAATCTATCACGTCTTTGATCCTGATAAAAATAAAAACGTAAAAATACACCCTCTTTTTCGGACCTTAACAAGGAGATTGTAAAAATACGCATCAAAGTCTCTGAGTAGTCTTTTAAAATTTGTAAAAAATTACAAGATGAAATGAAATTCTATTTTTACCATGCTGCAAGTCCTTGGCAATTATGTCAATGAAAAATAAATTTCATGAAATCCTCTTGGTGAATTCATAATTACTCAAAAGCTTCTCCTGAATATTTCATTTCCAAAGCTGCCGTTTTAGATCTATTGAAGATTCCTGAAGGATTAACTGCTAATATTTTATGGATATAACACTAGATCCTTAGCTTTTTCCCCTGAAGGTACACAGAAGTACTACTGTGGTATGTAGTAGTATAACTATTCACTCAATAATCTTTACTGTTAGATTTATTTATTTTTTTTTATTTTCTATCGTCAGTCCTGACCTATAGATTTAAAAATCTTTATTTTTCTGCCTAAATTGTGTACTTATGTTCTGTGAATCATTAGGTAAGTTAATTATAATCATATGTTGAAATGTTCTACATCTTGTCATTCGACAAATAAAAAGAACTTATGCCATGACGTAATTTCCACTTAAGTAAAATGGTCTGGATCTATTCTGGTGCCAATAGGAAACGGTTTTCCTTTGATTTTTATTATGAAAGTCATGTTCCCTGTTGGCGCTACATGTTTATATCCTTTCTCTAAAATCTTTGGAAATGTGTACCAAGCTTACCATTCATCTAGTCTATTGGCACTATTTCCAGATCTGATTTCCTAGAATTTCTCCTGTGCGTGTTCTAGTAACTTTTTCCAATTTTGTGGTATCCTTAAAATACCATGTCAATTAACCCATATGGGGCCATTTCAGTATATTTTCATAGCTAATATTACCGTTTTTCCTGTGCCAGAGAAACAAAATCCCTTCATGAAGCTCTCTGTTAGACTACGTTGCAGACCCTACCCTGTACACATCTGTCGTTTACTCGGCGCTAAAATAACCATCATCTCGGGTCCCCGCAACAAACGCCGCTTCTCGATAAATCGTTAGCGCTTCAGCCGTCAATAAGTGTCACTTTGCTTTTAGGATGTTGACCGAGAATCACGTGGCCCGCGCTTGCCTTCCGCACAGTAACTGGTTTTCCATGACTTGTTGACTTCTCACTGTCACTTCTGCCTTTGCTTTGCAACCCAACCCCGGGCTGTCTCCCGCCAGCGCCAGCAGAACGCGCTCAAGTACGTGGCGGAGGAGTGGTGCCAGACCGAGGGCGAGCTGCTGCGGGAGCGCGGGCTGTGGGGGCCCCCCATCGGCTCCCACCTGGACAAGTGGATGCTGGAGATGACGGAGGGGCCCTGCCGGATGAGGAAGAAGATGGTGCGGAACGACATGTTCTACAACCATTACCCGTACGTGCCAGAGGCCGAGCAAGAGACGAACGTGGCGGTGAGTGTGCAGAACCCAGTGTTTGGGGTGACTCTCGTGGTTTGGTGTTTTTTTTGTTTTTTTTTTTTTTATTTCTTTGTGAAACATTGTTCCTTTTCAGGCGCATTCCCTCAAATAGCTAATTTGGAAGATTGAACAGACTGTACTGAATCGATAACGTCAGGGTGGAGACGGAAAGCAAAGATGCAGCACTGTGACAGGGAGATGTCGTTGTAGGGAAGGGGTGTAGATCACAGGCTCTGAAGCCCAAACTGCACAGGTTTAAAACCCGGCTCTACCACTTTTCTGGCTGGGTACAAGTCATCGAACCTTTCTAGGTTTCCATTCCTTTGTGTCTAAAACGTGGAGCCAATAATAGTTCCAACCGCATGGTGCTGTTAGGAGGATTAAGTTAGTTGTTATAAAATTAGTGAGGTGCTTAGCATGGTGTTTGGCATAGAACAAGCACTATCTAGGTCTTCTAATGAGTAGTTCAGATTGTATAATATGAGGTGGTTCAGATTGTTCCAATGCCTTTTTTTTTTTTTTCTCTGCCAAAAGCCAAAAACCATGGCTCCATTCATCTTGTACTCACTTATTGAACCTCTGTCCTGAAGCTGCTTGGAACATAGATCTTAGAATCAACCTAAGTGCCCATCAGCAGAGAGGAATGGATGAAGAAAATGTGTATATATTATTCACCTTTAAAAAGAGGGAGATCTGTCATTCGTGACAACATGGGTGAATCCGGAGGGCATGCTAAGTGAAATTAAGCCAGGTGCAGAAGAGCAAATGCCGCATGATCTTAATGTGGAATCTAAAACAATTACACTCAAAGCAGAGAGTAGAATGGTGGCTATCAGAGGTTGGGGGAATGGGGAGAGGTTGGTCAAAGGGTTTGAAGTTTAAGTTAGACTAGAGGAATAAATTTTTTTGAGATCTATTTCAAGCTGCGATGACTATAGTTAATAATTTGTTTTGGTATGTTTTGCATTTGCTAAGGGAGTAAATTTCAAATGTTCTCAACACAAAAAATAAGTATTCGAGGTGACGGATATGTTAATTAGCTAGATTTAATCATTCACATTGTGTACTTGTAACAGTATATTGTGCTCCATAAATAATTACAATTTGACAATTTACAGTAAAAATTTTTTTAGGAAAAGAATATGGGGCTGGACATGGTGGCTCACGCCTGTAATCCTAGCACTCTAGGAGGCCGAGGCGTGAGGATCATTTGAGCTTAGGAGTTTGAGACCACCCCCGAGCAAAAGCAAGACACCTCGTCTCTTCTGAAAACAGAAAAAAATGAGCTGAGCGTGGTGGCATGTGCCTGTAGTCCCAGCTACTTGGGAAGCTTAAGTAAGAGGATCCCTTGAGCTCAGGAGTTTGAGGTTGCAGTGAGCTATGATGATGCCACTGCTCACTAGCTGAGGTGACAGAGCAAGACTGTGACTCAGCAACAACAAAAAAGAATACAGGTCTTAGCTCCAGCTAATAGTTGTTATTTAAGATTTTTGAAGATAGCTCTAAAGCAGGGGTCCTCAAACTTTTTAAACGGGGGGCCAGTTCACTGTCCCTCAGACCGTTGGAGGGCCGGATTATAGTTTAAAAAAAACTATGAACAAATTCCTATGCACACTGCACATATCTTATTTTGAAGTAAAAAAAACAAATGTGCAAAAACACCCACATGTAACCCGAGGGCCATAGTTTGAGGATACCTGCTCTAAAGTGTACTTTTCTCAAAGCCATTCAATTCTGTCAAGAATGCCATACTTGATATAGCCGTACCTTAAGGCACTATAATTTCTAATAGGGGAGCACTCGGTAAAAAAAATTAACCCACCTATATTTTTGCAACCTTTTACTAGCACCCACTTTTTTTTTTTTTTTTTTTGAGACAGAGTCTCACTTTGTTGCCCAGGCTAGAGTGAGTGCCGTGGCGTCAGCCTAGCTCACAGCAACCTCAAACTCCTGGGCTCAAGCGATCCTTCTGTCTCAGCCTCCCAAGTAGCTGGGACTACAGGCATGCGCCACCATGCCCGGCTAATTTTTTCTATATATATTAGTTGGCCAATTAGTTTCTTTCTATTTATAGTAGAGACGGGGTCTCGCTCTTGCTCAGGCTGGTTTCGAACTCCTGACCTCGAGCAATCCGCCTGCCTCGGCCTCCCAGAGAGCTAGGATTACAGGCGTGAGCCACCGCGCCCGGCCACTAGCACCCACTTTTATAAGAGCAAAGCAGCAATACAATCTTCAATATTTAATCTTTTTCCCCCACACAAACAATCATTAAGAATTTAAGCCTTTAGCAGTTTGCTAAAATATTTCTTAATTGACTCAACATTCATTTAAATTGAGTCCATTCAGGAATACTAAAATATGAAATAAATATGTTCTCCCAAATATGTGACCGACTCACTATTTTGATGACTGAGGCATATACTTTTGAGTTATTTTCCCAGTAACCGTAATATTTTTTATCCTATGTATACTCCTTTCCTTTTTTGTAACAATTTCATTTGTTTATAAAAGTATATTTAAACTTCTATATCAGATAAAAGCAAAGTAACCCATTCAGAGTTTACACCTACAACCCTAATATCATCAACGTTTTTACCTAAGCAAAGAAGTTTACCAGCCTATGAAATCTAAACAGATACTCTCATACATGAGAATGCACCATATGGAACTTATTTTTTAACAGATGGTTACATATTGGAAAATACAAAGCAGTTGAGAAATGTTGGAGATGAATTTACATAAAAGGAAAAGGCAGGTGGGAAGGGAGACAATTGTAGAATGTAGAATTCATGCTTCATAGTTCATGCAAGAGTCAAGGTTAACCTTGCTTATATGATGACATTTTCCGAACGAATCACTTTTATTTTGGTTTTGGCAGTTCAAAATCTTTCGTAAATTTGAAATGCCATTAAATCTTCACTGTTACCTTATGGAATGTGGATTCTGGCAATGTTGAAAACAAAGAACTTTGCAAAAAGTAGAAGTATCTGGTTATCCCACTGACTTCTACCATGAAAAAAAAAAAAAAAAAAAAGAAGCTAATATTTACAAAGCACAGTGAGCTAGATGCTCTGCAGAGCCATTGTATGATTTTCATGTCAGTCTTATAACGGTACTCTGAAGTACCGTTAATACTGTTATCCCAATTTACAGAGGAGGAACTACAGCCTCGGATAGTTAAGGAATCTTCTAGGTTACAGCTACTAAGTACTGGAGTAAGGTGTGAATATAGTTCAGCAGTACTTTAGCAGTTGAATCACTTTGAAAGAGAAGAGATTCTGCTATTTCCTGGTTTTGTGACATTGTCCATAGTCAGTGAGTATATTCCATATTTGGTTTTGTCTCTCAGATGCTAACAGAGTGCCTAATCCTTAATAAATGTTCAGTGAATGGACTACCAGCACTCTGTCTTCTTAAGTTATAGACTTTTTTTCCATTGCTTCCTGTTCAGCACTCTAGAATTTTCCTAAATCTGAATTTTTTTCCACTAAGAAAGGGCTAGAATCAGATTTTATGGACCCTGAAGTGCATATAATTTAGGAGAGAGCTCTGCAAGAAAAAGAGTACAGAATTGTGAGTATAAAATTACTAGGGCTCTGCTTCCAGGGTTTCTAAGGGGACCCAGGAGAAGCGAGGGCCACTGAAGTCTAAGCTACATTGACCCCATAGTCAGTCCACCCCATCCTGAGCTGTATTACACACTGCTTCCCAGAGTCAGAGATGAATCACTTCTTTCTCTTTGACACCCATAAATATAATCAGTACTTTCTGTGATATAACAGATGTATGCCAACCTTAAAATTGCTTTTGAAGGCTCTTGAAGGGTAAAGCAGGCTTTTACCTATTGAGTGCTGGACCTTTTAGTAAAATTAAGAATCCCAGTCAATCAATCAATGAGCAAATATGGATTAAACCAGCACTGTGTACCATGTGCTACAGGAAAAAAACATAAGGGTAGATACGGAAGACCCTACCCACGTTCTGGTTGGAAGTATAGATAGTGTACATCAAAGTTGGGTTGGACAGTAGTAATGGGTCCATTTTGCCTTATTGGCTTATTACATATATATCCAGCAATCTGTCTTGGCTTTTTTTTTAATGAATTTCGAAGTGACTTGCAGAATCAGTACTGTTTACTTCCACGACATCTTATTAGTATTAATTAGAGTTCAGTATTTGTTTCTAATTCTTTTTTCACTGAAATAAATTTTACATACCTCGAAATACACAGATCTTAAGTGTACCATTCAGTGATTTTTTTTTCTTTGTCTCTTTTTTTTTAACATTGGATTTCCTGATCTGTTTTTGCCTTTAAAATACTTTTGTTGTGGTCCATTCAGTGAGTTTTAACAAATGTATACCCTACACTTTTGTAATCTGAATCCCTACCAAGATAGAGAACATTGATGTAGATCTTAAAAGATTATTCTTCAGTAGAAGGTAGACTTTTACAAGTTTGCTTTAAGGAGAAAGATTCATGAAAACCATGTAAAATATTTGAAAGGATGCCTAGTAGTCCTAGTTTGTTTTGCCTACAGAAGCAAACATTTGTGAAAACATTGTGCCTGCTCATATTTACTGTAGGGAAAGGTACCAGAAGTCATCGCCTGATTAAAAACTATGAAAGGGAAGAAAGCTTGGAAGAAGTTCTTGGCTGCATTATTGTGTATGTGTAGCTATCTGTGTGCTTACATGCATAAGCCATGTGCTCAACAGAAATTGCCTTCTTGTTGATCAGGATTTTATTCCGAGGAGAAAATATAAGTCCAACTACCTAGTTCTTTTAAAGGGACTCTTTAAAAAATTTTTGGTCTAGGAGACTGATGATCCCAGCCAGTGTACATTCTGCTTTCAGCCTTTCTGCAATGGTGAAGGCAGTGGAAACAAAAAAAAGTAGGTCCTTGGGCTTTTATTGGAGGATGTTTTTTCACTAATAAGCACTTAGTGATTTGTGTGGCATGGGGTATCGTAGATGATAGTTTAAACCAGTTAGTTGCTTCTGTTCCAACGCAGATCTGGGAAATAAGCACAAGGAAAAGAAGATGAAATACGTTAGCTAGCATTAGGTTCTGTTATACTGATTTCTGTTTTTTCCTTTTGAAACCATATAGAGAATTACCTGTAAGTCATCCAAGAAAGTGGCAGCCTGTGCTGAAGTTTTGTCTGTGTGATTTGTAAGAGTTTGTCCTGTTCCGTAGGCCTGAGACTTTCGGTGTGTTCAAGTTTCACTTAAAGCTACTTTTGATCGTTGAAAAATAATAACTGCAAGGTGCAAAGTGATTATTTAAGCTGCTTAGGCTATCATGTTAAGTTTCTTTGAGTGTCTGCATCTTCCATATTTCATATGATCCTCAAGAAAATTTTATTTTGTTTTCTTCTTTATGTTTTTTTTTTTTCTGATGTGTCTATACTTAATACCCTGTTTTCAGTCTGAGATCCCAAGTAAACAGCCCGAGACACCCGATGATATCATTCCTCAAAAGGTAAAACACAAACTACCGTAAAAAGAATGCAAAACTACTCGCAGTTTTTTTGTTTTCTCGGGTTTTGTTGTTTGTGCATGGTAGACTAGACTAACTTTTCAAAGACTGGCTTTCAATTTGTTGTTTCTGTAAGTTCCTCAGAGTTTTGAAACGTTGGTTTCCTTCATGCTGAGAGGTGATGTTCTTCTACCCTTCCTCAGCTTTGTTCTAATTAGCTCTGTAGGGTTTGTGCTGCTCACTAACAGGCTTCTCACTGTAAAACGTGAATCGCTTCACACACTAACAAATCATGAGGCATGTTAGTAATGGGCAGCCGGCATCTTCAACTCTTTTTTTTCCCCAATCACTCATTTAATTCTTCTAGATACTAAAGTGTGTATTTGGAGAATGCAACACTGTCTTCTCCTTTAAAATTATTATTTTTTTTCAATCAGAAGGAACTAATGGAAACTAAGCTTTGTGTGGTCACATTTTTAATGTTCCCAGTTTGATTTATTTTGATTAGGATAAAATTTAATCATTGTTTTCATTTTCCAGAAGGATGAAGTACATAATTGAATAAAAAAATGTAGTTTTCTAGAACACAGAAATGGACCTCAAAAAATATGTAAGGGAAAATTCTTCTGGATCAAGTTTTAAATCTGCATTGAAGTCAGTAACCAAGTAAATTCTGTCCCCCATCTATTAATTCATTGTCTTGCCCATCACTAACTATGCTTTCATCTTTTTAAATATTAGCAATTTTGAGTTGAATATAACTGTCATACAGAATGGTTATGGTGCAAAGTTTACTACCTTCCTTTCATTTTCTAAAATATTACAGTATCCTCATTAGTTTGCCCATCAGATCAAGCCTTTGAGTTGTAATATTATTTTACATAATTTTAATACTTTCTTATGTCATGTAATGTTTTTCATTCTCCATATGCTGTATATCATTGCTCAGTTCACTGGCAACTCTGTTCCCTGACTCTGTACCTAAAGTTAAAAGAAGGGTAACGTAATTTCACTTAGTTACATTTCTGTGTAAAAGTTAGTGCAGTATCTCCGTGTAAATATTCCACCCAAAGGGGCACTCGTTCTCCACTTCAGTTAGAAACTATTTTTTTAAAAAAATGTTGCTTGAACTGAGCAACAATGAGATCATACATATTCACTGCGTGAGTTTAAAGAGTAGGCAAATAGCAGAATATTTTTAATTAGATGTTCATAGGAAAGGAGAGATAAAATTATGTTTAGAGGGGGAAGGTTTTAAAGCATGTTTCAAATTCCGTTTTTTTTCTTAATCGTTAATCCAAAGTCTGGATCTGATTCTGACCTGAGGAGCCTACATACACATAAACTTTTCCCTCTGTGGTTTTAAATTTTGCAGGATAGCTTAAACTTTTATTTCTCATTGTCTGTGACTTTTAAGAGGAAAAAAAAAAATTGTACATGCCTTGATCATACCAAAACAGTAAATCTTTTCTGATGTTTCTAGGTAATTAATTTCTTCTTCAAAACGGACTTATGCATATTCTTGCTGTACTCACTTAGTAAGTGATGTATCATCATGATCTTTCACACAACAGACAAGAGTTAGCAGATTGGAGGTACCAGCTTAGGCTAACCAGAGGGTCAGCTGGCATGGAACTACTAGAACTACTACCCACCTGTCCCTGGTGGGTCAGGACTCTTAGAAGGATCTGAAGACGGTTTTGGCCATATCCAGAGAATTCCCAGTGAAACATGGGCAATATGGGAAAGAACAGGGCAGTTCTGAGTCTCTGTCTCCAAGCGTCTGACGTAAACACTCGCACTAATGGTTCTAGCCGAACGGACAGCCCTGTAGGCCTAACTGACTTGATTTGGGGTGGAAGCGAAGTTCCAGGCTCCTCCCAGACGAGACAGTCTCCTTGCAACTCGATGTTCTTCTGCAGGGGACATTCTCTTTGCTGTACAGGGAGGTTTCTCGGCACATTGCTGAAGATGCACTGTGCTAACACGACAACTGTTCGGCTAGAGATTATTTTTATTTCAGGAAGGACAAGACTGCAAATGCTGTTTTACATACATCTTTTAAATATCAGTGGAATTTAAAAATAGAGAAATTTAACCCTAAAGTCTGTGGATTTGCTATATATACATACAAGACCATATTAAATGCCCCTAGAAAGGGTGACACGAAGAAATTTCGACACCATACTTTTTCTCAAGAAGCTCATATTTTAATTCTTGGGAGTAAATTCTCTGAGGCGTTTTCTTTTATTTCTCAGAAACCTGCTCGGTACAGGAGGGCCGTGAGCTACGACAGTAAAGAATACTACATGCGACTCGCCTCTGGCAACCCAGCCATGGTCCAGGACGCCATCGTGGAGAGCTCGGAAGGCGAAGCTGCCCAGCAAGAGCCTGAGCACGGCGAAGACACCATCGCCAAGGTCAAAGGTCAGCCTCCCCGGCTGTGATGTTGATTAAGAGTCATTTGGGGCCGGGCGCGCGGTGGCTCACGCCTGTCATCCTAGCACTCTGGGAGGCCGAGGCTGGAGGATCGCTCGAGGTCAGGAGTTCGAGACCAGCCTGAGCAAGAGCGAGGCCCCGGCTCTACTATAAATAGAAAAGAAATTAATTGGACAACTAAAAATATAGATAGAAAAAATGAGCCGGGCATGGTGGTGCATGCCTGTAGTCCCAGCTACTGGGGAGGAGGCTGAGGCAGGAGGATCGCTTGAGCCCGGGAGTTGGAGGTTGCTGTGAGCGAGGCTGACGCCACAGCACTCACTCTAGCCTGGGCAACAAAGCGAGACTCTGTATCAAAAATAAATAAATAAATAAATAAAAGGATAATTTGGGATATTTTTGCATTTGAATTTATATGAAAGTAGGAGCAACTGTAAACAGTAGGGCCAACCTTAAAAGCACCCATACATATTTCACCATCTCACCTTCTCACAGGTTGATTTCTTCACCAGAACTAAAGTGACCCGGCTTTTCTTTATTGCCTGCACATGAATGTATTAATGCCCTTTGATGTCATGAGTTTTTCTTTTTTGTATTTGGCAGACTCCCCAGTGGCACTTGATACTTTAAGTTAAGGCCCTAATACCTAACTAAATAAATATTTACAAAATTAAAATACCTGCCAAATATGTCATTAGTGTATGTTAGCCAACAGTAGGAAATAATGGTCTGTCTTCCTGTGGGCCAGTAGAGATGATCTCAAATCTAAACGTTACAAGCTCGGTAGATGATAAGTTGGACTAAAATAAAATGTCCACAGACGTTTTTAATTCTGTACTTTTATATACATGTCAGCGTGAAATACTCTTCCCCTCCTGAAGCTTCTCCACGACCTACCTGTACCTTAACAAATCCCACCCAATCCTGAACACAGTGGTCAAACATCAAATCATCCTTCTCGAAAGCCTTTTCCCACGCCTGTGTCCACCAATAATATTTGCTCATGTATCTTTTAGCAAGTTTAATGATTTTTCACTGCTGTATGTTTTTCTCTTTTGGATTTATGAGTTTTTCTCAGAGGTAGAGATTATTTCTTCTCATTTTACAGTTTTTGACTCATATGACTAGGACAATACGGAGATTCCATCAATTCACTTGCACAAGTAAATCAATCCAATGATTGAATCTTTCTAAGCCTTTGATTCGCCGCAAATTCAAAAGCCTTTGCATATTCTGCAAATAAAGCCCTAGAGTATAAAGTAAGATCTTTAAATTAAAAGTTAGTTTTAAAATTAAAAGCTAGGAAATGAGGAATTCACTTCAGATCACATTATTTAAAAGAAAAAAACTAGTAGAATATGACCATGTCAGTAGAAAGAAAAAAAAAAAAGTTTGAAATTGTGATCAGCTTGAACCCAGAAGTTAGAGTGAGTTATGATCCCACACTGCACTGCAGCCTGGGCACAACAGAGCGAGACCCTGTCTCTAAAAATAAATGAGTAAAATAAAATGGTAATCATTTTGTGCCATTATTAAAACATACCCAGCCTCTCTTGTGATGACTGTGAGTTGGGTCCAGAGGTGCAGTTGCTGGGCATAAGCCAAGGTGCAATGCACAGAGTTTGTCAGATGATTTGCGTTTGGGTCATCGGCACTTGGCCTTCTCTGCCTGAGAATCTCTAATTGAGCTAAAACCGCAAAGATACAAAGAGCTATGCTAGACGTAGAGTTGGAGGCTTTGATTCATTTCCATTAAAAATAATGCAGCTGTGAGCCTGTGCCCCTTGTGGATGTTCCCAGCAGGGTTTGATATCTCTTGCTTGCTCATTTACACCCTTTCATATCTGAAAATGCAACTGTGCTCAAGGCAAAGCAGACCCTCTGATAACTAGTGTCCAGAGGATAAGACTCTAAACAGGGTGGCTTGTGCTTTTCCAAAATGCTTAGAGTGACTGTAACTGGCAACAATACTTTTCATGGCACAACTAAGGAATGTTAATTTAATTCAACGTGTGCTTTAGAGTGTATTTTGAGGACTTCCCGTACCTGGGATCTCCACTGGTTACTACTGTTATCGACTGATTTTAACTTCTCCCGCTGTGATTATTTGTAAAGTTATCAAAATGTTGATAGTAAAGTGTTTTCTGCATCTGCACATGAAATGGGCTGTGCCTATATCATAAATAATTCTGTTCTTGCTCTTTCTGACCTAACGTTTTGATCATACTCATTCATATATGTAAAACCTTCCTGCCACTTGTGCAGTGAGGCTTGAAATAGTCTTCATGAGCCCTTTATGTAGGTGGGACCTCTTAGCATCATGTTTGTAACTTGCTGTCTTTATTTTTATTTGTGATAGTGATTATTCATGGTGTCCCTTCAGTGACACCAGTCTATAAGCAGCACAATTCTTACGATTAATTATGCCAAGCTTTCTGTTTATCATTACCATCAAGTGGCACTGACTGAGAATGTATTATGTATTACATATAATATTAGGCACTTTACATGAATTACCTCATTTGGTCTTCCAGCAGCCCTCTGTCCTCTGAGATAGATATTCTTGTCCCGGTTTTTTTGTGTTTTGTTTTTGTTTTGTTTTGTTTTGTTTTTTAATAGAGGTACGGGGTCTCACTATGTTGCCCAGGCTGGAGTACAGTGGCTGTCCACAGGCACTGTCGTAACACCCTACAGCCTCACACTCCTGGCCTCAAGTGATCCTCCAGCCTCAGCCTCCCAAAGTAGCTGTGACTGCAGGTGCGCCCCACCCCACACCCGACGCTCGTCCCAGTTTAACAGATGAGAAAACTCAGGTTCAGAAAGCGTGACTAATTTTCCAAAGTCACACGGCTGTTTTAACAACCCAGAGCCTGGTGCTCTCGGCCACTGAACTGCGCCGCTTCCCTGCACCTCGCAGAACTGTCCCACACCGGACGTGTGTAGGCGGGACCACGGGGAGACTGCACTGCTCCCCAGAATGAGTCCCACCACGGCCCCCTTGGTTGTCGCGCCCCCGCAGGTCTGGTCAAGCCTCCCCTGAAGCGCTCCCGCTCCGCGCCCGACGGTGGCGACGAGGAGAACCAGGAGCAGCTGCAGGACCAGATTGCCGAGGGCAGCTCGATGGAGGAGGAGGAGAAGACAGACAACGCCACCCTGCTGCGCCTTTTGGAGGAAGGAGAGAAGGTACTGTGCTTCCGAAAAGCAAGGCTTGCATCGAAGTGACATGCTGTGAGATGGGTTGGTCGGGTAGTTGAGGATAAATGTCTTAGTTTCTTTAATAAAATAGTTTGTTTTCCCTCTTCTCTCTTTTTTTCTTTTATTTCAGCATATTATGGGGGCATAAATGTCAAGGTTACGTATATTGCCCTTGCCCCTCCTCCCCCCTCGAGTCAGAGCTTCAAGCGTGTCCATCCCCCCAAACATGACACATCTCACTCGTTATGTTTGTATATACCCGTCCCCTCCTCCCCCCCCCCCAATAAAATAGTTTTAAACAACCTTTCGGGCTCAGTACTCTACTTCTCTCATCTTCAAGGGTTTTCTGACCTCTGCGAACACATTAAATAGCACACATTTCCTCAGATGCAATATTAACACCTGGCACCTCATTCGCTGTCTTCCTCCACATTCTGTATCAGACCTCAGCTCCTGCCGTGATTCTCTATTTCAGATCCGTGGACACAACGCATTCAGTCATTTGGCCTGGTAGTTTTTTTTTCTACACCTCCGTGATTCCGGTAGCCACCTACACGCAGCTTCAGCCTGCCTGAGCCATCCCCTCCAGCCTCCTGTTGCTGAGCCTCTGTGCTCCTTCTCGTACAGAGACATTCCCGTTCCTCTCTCAGCCTCTGCTCCCTGCTGGCCTCTCTAGGTTCATTTCATCAACTCTGCCCGAGGCCTGAGCCCCCGCAGCCTCACGCACCGTGTAGTCAATTACGCCCACCACCTTGGGTTTTCTTTACTCTGCGCTTCACTCATATTGTTTTTTTTCTGCCAACACGCCCCTTTCTTCTTCACCTGCGTGACCTCTGTCTAGTAACTCCCATTTGATATAATTCCGTTCATCTGGATGTCTGTAATACTCAAACGCAGGAAGCTTTCCTTGGCTGTCTTGCCCGTGCAGGCTTGGTTAGATGCCCTCCTCTGTGCTTTTATAACGCCTTGTATACGTCCCTCTATGTCATTATGTCATAATTATTCGCTCTTGTATCTCTCTCTCTCTCTCCCCCTAGATGGTGAGCCCCCTTATAGGCAAGCACCGTTTCTTATTCTTACCCCGTTGCCTTGCACAGTTCCAATCACATGCTAGAGATCCAGTAAACCTTTGAATTAAGGAGTGACTGGTTGAATAAATAAGGAATTGGATGTGTAGTGAATATCACCTTTTTTAAAGGATGTTCTTTTTTTTTTTTCTTTTGGCCTGTTCTTATATTAGATCTTGGTATAACCCTTGAGGATCTTACCCACTAAGAAGCAGTAACCAGAAATTGGGGTATAATTAAAACAGTTCTGTTCAGATGTATGCCCTAATTCATCTTAAATGACGATATCTGAAGAAAAGATCACATAAATATAAAAGCACATCAGACGTGAAGGAAGCATAGGAGAGGCTCCTGGGGTCTTGGGCGTGGGCACTGATCACACTGTATTGTCAGCATTTGAAAATTTCATCGAGCTGCACACTTAGGAAATAAACACTTTTCTGTGTGTGTGTATTGTGTTATGCTGCAATAGTTATTTTAAAAATCAAGATCAATTGAATGTGGCAATGAAAATTGGCATGCATTTAGGTATTTTACAAAGTCTGTCGTATTGCTTTCATTTTTAAAACTTTTAATCTCATAGGCACAGTTTTTGCTCCAGTCGCTTTAAGTTTGAATAGTGCAGGAAGTGTATTCAAAATGACATTTATTCGACATTTGTTTAACTTTGATTTAACTGCCAGTTTTTTTGTTTTTTTTTTCCTTGACTCATGTTGAACTGAGTTTAAGCAAGAAAGGATTTTTACTAAGAATCAGGTACTGCCCCTTTGGAAAGAAAACAATACTAGCATTCAGCAACCCTCCCTCCTATGAGGAGAGTGAGACTCTGCCAACCTTGCCTTTTCACAACGGCACGGCAGTCTGCCAGGGAGACAGGACCAGGTGGGGAGCGAATAAGGACACATTCCGCAGTTCCAGTTCCAGGGGCTGGGGTGGCAAAAGAGGAGAGTGAACTACGTGGGGGAAAAGACAACCGACGATTCCTAACCTGATCGTGTGCGTTACCTCACTTAACGCTCACAACAAGCCAAGGGAGGTGCATTGGAACTTTGCAAATGAAGATTCAGAGAAATTAAGAAACTTGACCCAAGTCTACAAAACGACAGAACTGAGAATAGACCCAGAGTTAGCAGGCCCCACACTTTTCCCCCTGTGTCATCATCTTGCATCACTCAGAGCACAGTCTTACCCTAATCTTGTGTGTGTGCCTCAGCCCCCTTTCCTGCCAAGCTCACTATGTCTGTCTCCCTTTCCTGTTTCCTTGCTGTGTCTGTCTCCCGCGATAAGGACCCTGAAAGGAGGAACCTTGTCTCAATTGTTCATCACTTGGAGAAGCCAGCAGCACGTTTGTGCCTGGAACGTAGTAAATCCACACTGAATACTGAGAGAGATGGGATGGGTGGATAGCAGTGAGTGAATGGCGGTTTCCTCTTACATCAGATACAACTCTGACTGCAGTCTAAGCTAATTCTTCTTTACATGCTTAAACTCAGGTTTAATATGCTTAAGGAATGCCGTAGCAAAGTAACAAAAAAGAAATTATCTTTTTTTAAAAAAACTATGTTAATGAGTGTTTATGGGCTTCTTTATAGATCCAACACATGTACCGTTGTGCTCGAGTCCAGGGCCTGGATACCAGTGAAGGGCTGCTACTTTTTGGTAAAGAGCATTTTTATGTGATTGATGGATTTACCATGACAGCAACCAGGGAAATAAGAGATATTGAAACCTTACCTCCAAAGTAAGTAAATGAATGAAGAGACACAAAGTACAGCTCTCTTTAAAAGACAAAAATATATTTGCATACTTTTTTGGGGTTTTTTTAATCAAAAAAAAAATTGTGTCCTAAGTAATGTTACTGCTCAGTTTATGTGCTTTCGTCTTTACATGTTCACTAAGGGTAAATTCTCACTTATTTCAAGGTAATAAAGAAAAAATTTTCAGATATCGACCACACAGCAAAAGAAAATAAAAAAAAAAAAAGAAAAAGAAAAAATTTGACTTGTTTATCGAGGTGAAAACTAAATGAAATGAATTTCTATGCATTATTAGCATCAGACACCAAGTTACTTGTTTTTGATCTATGCGTTTATAAATTTATTCTGAATTTGTAAAATTGTTCTTTTTTAAAAAAAAATGGTAGCAGATACACAGTTGTAGACAAAATGCAGGTTGTCGCACAATACTCTTATAAATGAGAGAGTGTCACCAGGTGCTCTGAGTACCGTAGAAGCTGCGTGACAGATGCAGCAGCAGGAATTAACTGAGTTTTCTGTATCTTCCTTTTCTTCTACCTGTCCTGAGATGGATGTGGTAGTGAGGAGTGGAAAACTCGAAAGACAGACAAAGCTAGAAGGAAGATAAGCTTAAGCCTTAGAAAATCAGCAGGCCCTTTATCTTCTTTTAACATCTTGAATATGCACTGTTGAATGTAGACATGGTCTCTGTAGTCCATGCCTAGGAAGTATTTCAAATAATCATCTTCAGTAACAACCAGGGTCACATTAGGACTTCCATGGACCCTCCTTCCATACAAAATATTATTAACCCTTTGCACTCGCTTGCTTTTTTTCTCGATTCCTTTATTCTACTCGGGATTTAATTTTTTAAATACCCCAGATTTTACAAAGCGCAGCAGTAGAATAAAAAACTGGAGTTTCTTTTCATACAAACTTATTTATTTGGATTTTTTTAATATTTCAAATTACTGATACATTCAAAGAGTAATTTTAATCTCTATAATTGTTGCTAACCGTGTCGAGTCACACTCGACATCCGAGTGCAGAGGGTTAAAATTACGCTTCGTGACTGTTAGCATGAAGATAAATACACTCATATACTAAAACATTCCTAGAAGTTCCATTTTTTTTCCCTTCGGATTTTAAAAGAAATTAAAGCATTTTCTTGGGCCCCAAAGTATGTGAGCGCAGGCCCTGTGCTGACTATGTGTGGTAGATAAGTTAGTCATGACAGTAATAAGGGGATTTTAAAAATTGTATTCATCAAGATTGAACAATGTAGTGAGACCCTGTCGCTACAAAAAATAGGAAAATTAGCCAGGCATGGTGGCGCATGCCTGTAGTCCCAGCTCCTTGGGAGGCTGAGGCAGGAGGATTGTTTGAGCCCAGGAGTTGGAGGTTGCTGTGAGCGAGGCTGATGCCACGGCACTCACCCTAGCCCGGGGAACAGAGTGAGACTCTGTCTATTAAAAAGAAAAAAAAATCATCAAAGGAGATTCCTTGTATCTCAGGTAGCTGACAAATTCTTCTTTTAATGTTTTTTGTTTGTTTTTTTTTAATTGAAAATTTTGATGTAGTGTTCTCCCATCCTGTTTGTATGTTGGAAACAGCACACCTTTTGTTGGGCAGTCAGTTTATCTCTTGCTCTGTTTTTATTTCCTTTTGCTCTTGGCTGCCTGTAGCATGCACGAGCCAATAATCCCCAGAGGAGCCAGGCAAGGCCCCAGTCAGCTCAAGAGAACGTGCAGCATTTTTGCATATGAAGATATCAAAGAAGTACATAAAAGGAGGTATCTCCTGCAGGTGAGTGGAGTAGTACTACTCAATGTTTTGTCATGTCCTTTAATCAGAAGATGTACTATTTTAAAACTGATATATGCCACAAAAATCCTCTATAGGATCCACATTATTTATTCCTTAGAGTGTTCCTTAGATTTGGTCATGTGATAGACAAACCCAGGTCACAAGGATGCATAACTCTGTATAATACACCTCTCTCTTTTTTTAAACACAGCCCAAAATTTGGGTGATATCCTTATTTTCCATCTTTCCCTGTAGACATCCAAATTAACATTTTTAATTGTCTTTTAATATAAAAATTACATCCTTACTATAATTTTACAAAGTTATAATTTTATGATTATTTTTATCATTCAAGTAAAGTTTTTAGAAATAAATTGAGCAAAATAAGAAAAATCTATTTATTGCATAGCTCAATTTGCAAGGAATTCATGATTCTGAAATTGGTTTTAATCAATAACTTCTTCAACATTGCAGAAATGTGTAGTAGAAAAGTGAATAGAATCACTGAGTTAATGATACTGTTAGCGTGAAATAAAAAAAAAAAAGAAAAGTGAATAGAAAATCGAATCTGTGAACTTATGTTTTTTCTTAATGTTTTTCTCTCTGATCATTTCAGCCTATTGCTGTGGAAGTTTTCTCTGGAGACGGACGGAATTACCTCCTTGCATTTCAGAAAGGAATTAGAAACAAAGTCTATCAAAGGTCTCATTTATCAGGAGCACTTTACATGCTATCATGGGATGAGATGGGAAAACTGGGAGGGGGAAACTATTCCCAGTCTAGCTAGTTTTTTAAAATCTCGAATTAGATCAGTAAGTCAAAATCTTTGAAGATGTTTGTTTTATTTTTGCCAACCTCATGACATATGATTCTTCTAACTTTTAAAATGATGCAATTTTGGCCGGGCGCGGGTGGGGCTCATGCCCCATAAATCCTAGCGCTCTCTGGGAGCCGAGGTGGATGGATTGCTTAGGTTAGAGTTCAGAACCAGCCTGAGCAAGAGTGAGACCCCTCCGTCTCTACTATAAATAGAAACAAATTAATTGGCCAACTAATATATAGAGAAAAATTAGCCGGGCATGGTGGCGCATGCCTGTAGTCCCCAGCTACTCGGGAGCTGAGGCAGGAGGATGGCTTGAGCCCAGGAGTTTGAGGTGCTGTGAGCTAGCTGATGCCATGGCACTGACTCTAGCCTGGGGAGCAAAGTGAGATTCTGTCTCAAAAAAAAAAAAACCTTAAAAAAATAAAATGATGCAATTCTACTGCAACATGCCATTTTTCTTCTTGGTAACTTATAGTAGAGATCATCAAAACTGCGTTTATCACTAAGTCCTGTGTCTGTAAATATAAAAGGATGATGAAACTGTAAAATAGGTTTCCTTGCTATTGACAAAGATGACACCAATGCTATTCCTTGCTATCGAATTCAGGGATTGAGTTCCCATAGAAATTATATTACCATAAGACTCTTTTCTGGCCTTGGAAGAGAAGTTGGATATCTTCATTCTTGAAAAAGTAGAGTAGCCAAATAAAGCAGTTAGTCTAATCTAAGCATGTTTTATCTTTGTAAACTATATTTATTTTTTTTTTTGAGACAGAGTCTCACTTTGTTGCCCAGGCTAGAGGGAGTGCCATGGCGTCAGCCTCGCTCACAGCAACCTCAGACTCCTGGGCTCAAGCAATCCTCCTGCCGTCAGCCTCCGAGTAGCTGGGGCTACAGGCATGGCACCACCATGCCCGGCTAATTTTTTCTATGATATATTAGTTGCCAGTTAATTTTCTATTTATAGTAGAGACGGGGTCTCGCTCTTGCTGGGGCTGGTTCTGAACTCCTGACCTTGGAGCAATCTGCCCACCTCGGCCTTCCAGAGTGCTAGGATTACAGGCATGAGCCACTGCGCCCGGCCTGTAAAGAATATTTAAAATGTACCTTTTTTAAAAGAAAACCAGGACATATCCATGGTGCTTGAAGATGTTTCTATTGGATCTGTGGATAATAAGGCTTTTCTGAACTGATGATAGAGATGAGAGACATTCTCTTGTTCTCTGAAGGGCGGTGCAGGGAATTTATTATTTTTTTTAAATTTCAAAATATTAAAGGGGTACAAATGTTTGTGTCACATGGATTGCTTTTGTAAGGCTTGAGTCGCGGCTGTAAGTGTGCCCATCACCCGAGTAGTGTTCATTGTATCATTAGGTAGGTTTTGTCCCTTCCTTCCTCCCGCCTGTCCCTTGCTTGATTTTCAATGAGTTTTACTTTCCTGTGTGCACATCGTGTGTGCCCATCATTAGTTCCAGTTTAATAGAGAGTGTATGTGGTGTTTGTTTTTCCATTCTTGAGATACTCAGGACAGTTGTCTGGAAGTTTTGTATTTCAAATTACTTCCATGACGAGTACCTAATACACCGTGCAACGTTGCTTATCACTGCAGTGTAGCAATAGTACCTGTGAGCACTTGGGAAATGAGGGTGGTTCTTAAAAGACAGAGCCTGTGGGTACCGGTTGGTAATTCAGAACTCCCTTCCCATATGGGAAGGGCTAAGGAAAGTCACTGCAGTTCACTTATCTGATTTATTAATTCCTAACGGTGATACTGTTTTTCAACACTAGGAAATTATTTGTTTTTCATAATTAGAAGCTGCTACAAGGAAGATGAGCTTTGTTTTCCTCTTGAGAAATTTCGGTTGCCAAGTTTAAGGTCTACGTCCATTTCAGGAATTTTCCCATAGTTCTCTTTTGCCTTTAAGAATTTATAGTAAGGCCGGGCCCGGTGGCTCACGCATGTAAATCCTAGCACTCTGGGAGGCTGAGGCAAGGAGGATGTCTTGAGCTCGCGTGTCTCAAGACCAGCTGAGCAAAGTGAGACCCTGTCTCACTACTAAAAAAGAATAGAAAGAAATTAGCTGACAACTAAAAATATATAGAAAAATTAGCCGGGCGTGGTGCGCATGCCTGTAGTCCCGCTTACTCCGGAGGCTGAGGCAGGAGATCGCTTTGAGCCCAGGAGTTGGAGGTTCTGTGAGCGAAGGCTCGAGCCACGGCACTCACTCTACCCTGGTCAACAAAGCGAGACTCTGTCTCAAAAACAAACAAACAAACAAAAAGAAGTGATCAGATTTTAGGTATCTGTAGGAGCAAGGCATTCTAAACCAGATAACAGGCCAGGCGTGGTGGCTCACGCCTATCATCCTAGCACTCTGGGAGCGAGGTGGGAGGATCGGCCTCTGAGGTCAGGCAGTTTCGAAACCAGCCTGAGCAAGGAGTCGCAGACCCCGTCTCTACTCAACACAATAGAGAAGAAATTAATTGGCCAACTAAACATACTGAAAAAGATGTAGCGGCATGGCTGATGCCACGCTACACTTTGGAGGCTAAGGCCGGAGGATCGGGTTTGGACCGCCCCAGGAGTTTGAGGTTCGCTGTGAGCGACCGGCTGACGCCACGCCGCCACCCTCCACTCTACCCTCGGGCAACAAGCGAGACTCTGTCCTCAAAAAAAAAAAGACATACGCACACGAACGACAACAAAAGACATTGGATATCGTCCGGCAACTTCTGCCCAAGAGAGCTTAATGCAGTACTCCATCATGGTCTCTCATCTTGTATGTTTCGTGTCTTCTTATCTACCATACGCGCCTGTCTTGTTGTTTGGCTGCCATCCATCACTGGCCCCCCCACTTACTGCATGCGGCACAAATCCTAGCTGTTAATGACTCTTTAGGACTTCGTTAAGTTGACTCAATTCCTGCAATCAGTGTTGCCAGTCTTTTTCTTCTGGTAGTGTGGCAGCATGTGGGAAAATTCAAAATAATACATTTTGCCGTAGGCCTTTACGTTTGGTTTTGGAAGTCAGCATCTTGCCTTTTTTTTTTTTTGGTAACCAGTAGTACTCTATTGGTTATAATTATTGTATATTCGTTCCCTTTGCCTGCTGTTTACTGAGTAATGAGAGGGTAGCTGCAACAGTGAAGATCTAAATGAATCGTCGTCTCTTAAGCTTCCATTTAGATCCTGACTGAGATCTCATTTGCAATTTTATGCTATTTTAAAATTTTCCAGGTTTTTGGCTGTAGTGCCATCCCTAACCGACAGTTCAGAATCTGTATCTGGGCAGCGACCGAACACAAGTGTGGAGCAGGGGTAGGTGTTTGTTGCTTGTACATTACAATTTAATAATGGAATTGGGATGGTTTATATCTGGACAGTATTATTTAACATTTTTAATGAATGTTTCTCCCCCCCAATGCTGCCTGCCCTGTGGTTGCAGACAATTATTTAAATACTGGAAACTAAAAGGGAGAAAAGAAAAATGCATGCGTAGTCAGGCATGTCAAATCACCACTCACATTTTGATCAATTACCTTTTGTTTTTTTTTTAAGCAAGTGTATATTGCTGTGTGCATAATTGAGTTTATACACTCTAAATACACATTTTTATTCTGCTTCTTCCATTCAGTGTTATGTTTAAATATTTCCCCCTGCCTTTAAAATATTCTTCAGAAATAATAACTTTTATTGGCTACCTATTCACCGAATATATATATAAAGCATTCTCTTATTTTGAGATATTTCATCTTTGCCAGGTTTTCTTATCATAATACTAGAAATGTAGTTCCTCATTATTTTGTTAGGGTGGAGTCCTCTTATTAAAATAAAGGGTATTTATTTAAGGCTTTTTATATACAAAGCCAACTTGATAACCATAAAACTATACAAGTTTATATTCCACTATTAGTGAGTGGACAAATCTGCTTCCTTCAACAGATACTTGCCAACTTTGTGTGTTTTTATTTTTCCTGATTTTACACAATGCTTTCTCATTTTTTAAATGTATATTTCTTTCATTATTAGTAAGCTTGACCTTTGTTTGTTAGACATTTTAAATCATCATTTGCAAATTGTCCATATCTTTTGCCCATTTTTCCTTTGAGTTCCTATTATTTCTATGGGGTTTTTCTGTAATCAAATGTTATTCCTCTGCTTGTCGCATTTGCTACAGATTGCCCAGTTTTCCTCTTAATTTTGTTTTTTCACATTGAAATTTAAACTTCTGTTCTTATGTATTCAAACCTATCAATGGTTCCTTTGTGCTCTTTACACCTGCTTTTCATCTTAGAAAGTCCTTCTGCATCAGGCGTCCTCAAACTACTGCCCTCGGGCCACATGCAGGTGTTTTTGCCTGTTTGTTTTTTTACTTCAAAACAAGATATGTGCATAGGAATTTGTTCATAGTTTTTTTAAAACTATAGTCCAGCCCTCCAATGGTCTGCGGGACAGTGAACTGGCCCCCTGTTTAAAAAGTTTGAGGACCCCTGTTCTAGAAACAGATAATGATTGTTTATATTCTTAATTTAAGAATATTGTTTATATTCTTATATCATTAAGAAAATGATATAACCATTTTCTTAATCCATAGACCCAGCTCCATTTGTATCACTAAGCCACTGATAGCCCTTGGTAATCCACTGCCTTGGAGCTGTAAATTAATTATTTCAACATGTTAGAAAATGACTTAAAAATTTACTAGGGATTCAATAATTTTTAAATAAAATTAGATTCCAGTCTCTGCATATCTAAATGTATTAAGTTTGTGTATTTCTCTTTTAAGTTGTTTCTTTTATTTTCCATTAGCCAAAGTTTAGCAAATACCAAATGCTAAATGTTTGCTTTTGTTAACCTCAGAAACATGTCCAGTTCCTAATCATTTGGGTTATTAACAAAAATACAGGAAGTGAAAATTTTCCTAATGAGCCTTTTTTCTACTTGTAAGAAAATTGCTAGTTTTCCTGCCTAGGCGAATCTTAGACTTGCTATTTCGTTGTTCTTGCTGCCTTCTGCTGAGTTGGCAGTTCTTAAAGAACTTTTCAGGGCTCAGAGGCAAGAAATAGAAACTAATTTCCAACTTTCCAATCTTCTGTTTCAGTTGTACCCTTTCTTATAAAGTTGAGAAATAATCGTGGCTAATTTTCCAAAGAGAGGGTATCCTGCATCTTCAGTCTATCTGATTGAAAGAATTTATCTAGAAGTGGAAAGTAGTAGCTATACTATTGAGCTGGATGTATTTATGACCTAAGGCTTACAAATCTATTGATTTCCTTTCAGATAATAAAACAATATAGCTAAATACTTTCTTCCTGATTCCATGACCAATTATTAATTATCTATATTATAAAGCTGATAAACCTTAAATAGGATTTTATAACATTCTAAAAAGTCTGTTATCCAAAAGAGTAGTATGCAAGTTTTAAATGACCTAGACACCAATGTGTTCACTGTCACAAAATATTCATATTTTCATTTATCCAATATCTTTTAAGAGGAGATGTACTATGTACAAAATATTGTATAATATTTCAGTTATTCCAATTAAATGTCTTTGAATCTGTTTACATAGGGATTATAGTAAAAAATTAGAAAGTTGGACTAGACCAGTGTTTTCCCAACTCTTTTGACCATGACCTACAGTAAAGAATTCATACTAAATATCATCCCAAGACACACAAAGTCATAAGTAATAAGACAAAAATCCACAGAAAATACTTTTCCTTACTATATATGATGCCTTCTGATATTCTGTTTTCTTCATTTCTGTTATTTCATATTTCAAGTGCTGATTATAACTCACTGAACTGATTTTGTGACCCTCTGATAGATCCTCAGTAGTTTGGAAAATTCCTGGTCCAGGTGACTTAAGTTTTCCAACCTGGTAATTGCTCAGATTTAAAACTATGTTGCTTACAATTTATTTCATCATGTGTTGTTTTTTTAGGTCTGGATTGCTTAGCACTTTGGTTGGAGAGAAGTCTGTGACTCAGAGATGGGAGGTAAGCTTAATAAATACGTCCACTTCCTTAGTAATTTGCGGTTACGGTGTAAGTCATACAAGTTAAAAAGCGCTTTAATAATCCATAAAATGTATACCAGGGAGACAATGTTTTCTTTTAAGGTAAAAAGTGTTTCATTTTTCTGAAATCTGTTAAAAAAGAAACTGTCCTTTACCTCAGTTTGCGAATAAATGGTGAAAAGTGAACATGTTTGAAATGATTGATTGATGGTTCCAAAAATGAATCTTTGTCTCTTCTAAGAGAGGTGAAATCAGCAACTTCCAGTATTTGATGCACTTGAACACTTTGGCCGGCAGATCATATAACGATCTCATGCAGTACCCTGTCTTCCCCTGGATCCTTGCAGATTACGACTCAGAGGTAAATCTCAAGTCATTTTCCCTAAGTGGAACACGTTTTCAAAAATAATTTAAAAATACTGCAATTGCCTAAATATTTTATTTGCTTCATAGTTTAGTATTCTCAATAGGCATAGACACTAATTTCAAAAAGATGGGGATGTTTTAGCTTGGATGTATAAAAAGTTTGTATCATTGATCCACTTATTGGGTATTGGATATTAATTCATAATGTCTGTTCAGTTTCCTTAAGTGCTGATTAATTTGCATCCATCGTTGGATATACCACATTTTATTAATCCACTCATGGATCGATAGGCACTTGGGTTGTTTCCACATAGAGATGAGCTTTTAAAATAATTTCTGGTAGAATGAAAGAATCCATCTCATTTGGAAGTTGCTTGACTTGGTATAAGGTTGTCTTTTAGAGGTGAATGAATTACTGGGTGCCCTGGTTTCTACCACTTCCAGATCACCTCTAGGAAGAAAATGATCAGAAGTGAAGTTGGAAGGAGACCAGGAAGGGGCAGGGAGTAGCGGGACGCAGAAAGGAGATTTGATTCTCCATTCATGGGAATGGTGGAGGATAAGGATGAACTGGAGCCTTTGTCTGGACTTGGAAGCATTTTCCCTCTTGTCCCTCAGCCCAGACCTGGATCCTGAGTGCCTTCTTTTTCTGTAAAACACATAATTTCCAATGCAGTTGTCTTAAGACTGAGTCAGTTAACAAACTGTTATGTGCCTGTCTGGAAAGTGTGGATGAACAGGTACAGAGGGTGGTTTTGAGTTCAGTTTGACCCCACAGATCCCAGTGCATTATAAATCATCGTCGTCCGCTGCAGCCACTGTGTCTGCGTCGGAAAGAATAGAGAGTTCAGGGCCGGGCGCGGTGGCTCACGCCTGTAATCCTAGCGCTCTGGTAGGCCGAGGCAAGTGGATCGCTCAAGGTCAGGAGTTCGAAACCAGCCTGAGCAAGAGCGAAACCCCATCTCTACTAAAAATAGAAAGAAATTAGCTGGATAACTAAAATATATAGAAAAAATGAGCCGGGCATGGTGGCGCATGCCTGTAGCCCCAGCTACTCGGGAGGCTAAGGCAGGAGGATCACTTAAGCCCAGGAGTTTGAGGTTGCTGTGAGCGAGGCTGACGCCACGGCACTCTGGCCCAGGCAGCAGAGTGAGACTCTGTCTCAAAAAAAAAAATGCAGTTGATAAATGTGCTGAGTTTGGGGGGAAAGGCTATTGATTTATACTTACTTTACATTACTGCCAGATATATCCATGAAGGGGATAGTAGCATCATCTTTCCTACTACATCGCCAGTGCTGACTGCATTTAGTGTCACAGTTATATGCTAGCGTTTTCAAGCCTGTAAATTAATGCCAGTTTTATTTTTCGTATTTTTCTCTCTCGTTTTCAATGACGATTAATTTTCTTGAACAGGAGAAACTCCCGCCTATCACTATGGGACCCACTACTCCTCTGCAATGATCGTAGCCTCGTACCTTGTCAGGATGGAGCCCTTCACACAGATATTCCTAAGGCTGCAGGTAAAACTTGACATCTGAAATTTTTCCATTTTATGCAAGCCTGCTGTCTATTTAAAATGTCATGCTCTTGCCTTACAAGAAAGCCCTGGGAAGTTTTAGGGATAAAGTAGCACAAACAGAATTAAAGTAGAATTGCACTGGACCAAGACGGATGAATAAAGTAGAAATCACTTAAAACAAACAAATTGCCAGGCTCCTTTAGTCAGATAAGTGAGTGGAGTACACTTTTCAACCAGCCCTAAGTGCTTGAGTTCAACAAGTGTTTTTTTCTTTTTAACACAAGAGTGATGCCTTTGTACTCATCTACTGTCTTCTTGATTATCATTGCTTTTCTCCACATTCTCTTTCATTCTGCAAATGTTCACTGCAGACCTACTATGTGGTAGGCACTCCCTGTTCCAGGTGCTTAGAGAAGACATCAGTGAATAAAGACAAAAGCCCTGGCTGTGGAGCATATATTTGTAGTGGAGGGAGACAGCCAAGCATAGTAAATACGTAAATCACAAAGGGTTTAAAAGAGTGTGATAGAATCTATCAGAAAAATACAGTTCAAGGAGAGGAGGGCGGCAGGCTGCAGTTTTAAATAGAGTGGTGGGAGCGGATCTCCTGTGAACAGAAACTCCAAGGAGGTGAGGGGGTTGCTCCTGCAGAGATCTGGGGGAAGTGAGCTCCGGGCAGAGGGAGGAACCCCGTACAAGGGCCCTGAGGCAGGGCTGCACCTGGCAGGTTTGAGGAGCAGCAAGGAGCGCCCAGCACGACCAGAGTGGACTAAGGAGGGAAGTCCTAGGAGATGAAGGTCAGAAAGGAAACAGGCCGGACTGGGGCAGGCTGTGGCAGCTGTTGTCTGGGCTTTGGCATTTTCCCACCACAGTGGATATCCTGAGACAAATACACCATTGTTTACTTAAAACACAGCATGAGGCGGGGTTGACTGAAGAAGGTGGGTAGTGGCAAAAGAAATCCCCTTTCTGTTTGAGTTTGTTTTATCGATCTGTAGCCTTCTGGTCACCTTTCCTAATTCTCCACCTAACTCGCATTGATAATGAGAGCTTGGATGTCATGCTAATTTGTAAAAGTGGCCAAACATATATTACTATATAACTTGAATATTTCCAACTGTAGATGGTTTACATTAGAATCTTTTCTTAAGATGTCATCATCAAACTGTGTAAGAATTCATATTCGTTTTATAGTCTTGGCGCTCTCTATGAGAGCTGATATATTTTTTTTTTTTTGGGGGGCCAAACCACGTGGCTTTATTATACACTCGTGGACGAGGTTCTGGGGCCCCAAGAGCGGGGCCCCGGAAGTCGCCCGAGAGCTGATATTTTTAGAAATATTTGTATCTGGATTTGACTTTGATTATGAAACAGATACGTTGGGAGCCCTCTGTGAAGGAGTTACCCCCAAAAGAGAATTAGATTAATGTTCTTTCTGTGATTATCTAAAATTGTACATGTTTAATGTCGGACAGTGGGGGATAGAACATGTCCCCAGACACTCTTGGGGTTTCCGAGCCCCCGAGCTTGGCGGCAGCTGCCAGGCGGCGACGTCTCTCTGACGGGGAGGTGCCTTCTCCTTCTGCCCGCAGGGCGGCCACTTCGACCTGGCGGACCGGATGTTCCACAGCGTGCGCGAGGCCTGGTACTCGGCGTCCAAGCACAACATGGCGGACGTGAAGGAGCTTATTCCAGAGTTTTTTTACTTGCCAGAGTTCCTGTTCAATTCCAACAACTTCGATCTAGGTACGGCGTGAGCTCTGGCCCTGTCTTGGGAACGTTAGCCGGGAAAAGAGCAGCGGAAGTAAGGCACCTTTCTGAGGCTTGTCCGCAGCACGCGCGAGCAAGGGAAGGTCTCCTTTTGTAGCGTCGGTTGCTGTCACGTACATTGTAATGGGTGTGAGTGGCCACATGTAAAAAAGAAAAGCAAATTCATGCCCCCACAGAGCTGTTTCAAACTTAAGAGTCTGGTAGACACTGAAGAGTGGACACAGATTAGAGCTGATGTTCAGAATTTTGTGGGGTTTTTTTGATGAGAAAAAGGCAAAGTGAAAATGCATTTGAATGTTATTGCTATTGAAAACCATAGTTGCCAAGAGTGGTGTGTCTAGATATTTCAGGCTGGGCGTGGCGGCTCACGAGCCTGTCATCCTAGCACTCTGGGAGGCCGAGGCGGGGGAGGATTGCTTGAGGTCAGGAGTTCCAGACCAGCCTGAGCCAGAGTGGGAGACCCCATCTCTACTAAAATAGAAAAAATTAGCCGGGCGTGGTGCTGCATGCCTATAGTCCCAGCTACTCGGGAGGCCGAGGCAGGAGGACCGTGTTAGCTCAGGAGTTTCAGGTTGCAGTGAGCTAGGCTGATGCCACTGCACTCTAGCCAGGGCGAAAGAGCAAGTCTCTCTGTCTAAAAAAAAAAAAAAGTAGATTTTTCATATATTGTTTTAACCTCATGTATTGCCTGAGGCAGCCTGTGTTAATATACTGATGTCTTTTAAAATTTCAGAATAACTTTAAATCCTTTTTTTTTTTAAATCCTGTGAGGATCCTATTTTCTAGAAAAACCAACTCAGCATTACAAAAAGGAGAAAAATTTCATTGGTACTGTTTTTTATATTATCTGGCAGCTAGAGGAAGTAGATTTGACTTCGGTTACGGTTTCTTGGAACACATTTTGCTGATCTGTGCTTCTGAGTATTTGTTTTATAGCATATCGTAATTCCATCGTTTCCACTTCAAAACATTCCTTCCAGGTATTGTTCTGTTTCTATATATTTTTTTCACACCTTGTATTTTCTACTGTTTTTAAGAGTTCAGAATATAAATCATCACTATACTGGCTCCAAATTTTCATTAACATACAATTTAGGGAAATATTCATATCCTATACATTTGAGTGATTTTTCTTTTTAAAATTTTCTAGAAATAATTTTTATTTATTTGATTGTCCATCAGCAGCCCTAACTTTGTGGCATGGGATTCGATTGGAAAGATTAACAAGACACTCTCAACAGCCCCAGCAAAAGTCCTGAAACTGAGTCTCATTAACTCCAGCTGGGCCCGGAGCTTGCCCTTGACCAGCTTGACAGACCCAACTTGTGGAGCTTAGAATCAGAAAAAGGGATGGTTTCCCCAAAGGGATAAAATAGGTGCTCAGCAAGCAGCATCACTAACTGGGTGCTGAAGCATTTGAATATGGGTGCACATTAAGTGTTTTGTTATGCTCACTTATAATTCACCTTTGGATGATGTTGCCTTCTTCCCTAAGAACACCACTTTAAAAGGACAAATATGGACAGGTGCAGGAAGAGATACCCCCAATCTTCCAGAAACACTTGCTCGGTTATGATAATCCATGTTGCAAAGGTGGATTGTAATCGCCAGACCGATTACAAACCCAACCAACCAATCTACTTTTAAAATAAGTAACTAAAAGAAGGGTTATATATCTTTGTCAGGTTCACCTTCGTAACAAGTCTTCTTCCCTCCTTGAAATCACATACTTTAAAAAACACTGTTTACATATAAAAGCTGAAACAATAAAACTTTTCTGAGAAAACATAGAAGTAAATGTTTATGACCTTGAATTTGATAATGGATATCTTAGATGTGATATCAATAGCAACAGAAGATAAATTAGACTTTATCAAAAATAATGTCCTTATGCATCTAAGGACATTATTAAGAAAGTAAAAAGATAGTATATAGAATGGAAGAAAATGTTTGCAAATGATATATCTGATAAGGGTCTAGTATCCAGAATATGAACAACTCTTATAATTCAACAACAAGAAGAGACAACCCAACTGAAAAATGGGGAAAGGGGCCGGGTATGGTGGCTCAAACCTGTGATCCCAGCACTTTGGGAGGCAGAGGCAGGAGGATTGCTTCAGGCCAGGAGTTCAGCACCAGCCTGGGTAACATGGCAAGACCTCATCTCTACAAAAAATTTAAAAATTAGCCAGGTATAGTGGTATGTGCCTGTCGTCCCAACTGCTCAGGAGGCTGAGGAGAGAAGATCACTTGAGCCCGGAAGTTCAAGCCTGCAGCGAGTTGTGATGACGCCATTACACTCCAGCCTGGACAACAGAGAGAGATGCTGTCTCTTAAAAAAAAAAAAAAATGTGGGCAAGGGACTTGGAGTAGGCATTTTCCCAAATGGCCAGTAACCACGTGAAAAGATGCTCGACATCATGAGTAGGGGACTGCAAATGCAAACCACAGTGAGGTATCACTTCATATCTCCCTGTGTGGCTATAATGGGGAAAAAAAGAAAAATAACAAGTTGCTGGCAAGGTTGTAGAAAGATAAGAACCCTCAAACATTGCTGGTGGGAATGTAAAATGCTGTAGCCATTATTCACAATCACCAAATGGCAGAAACAGCCCAGACACCTATCAAGGGCTGAATAGGTAAACAAATCGTGGCACATATACATATATATAATGAAATGTTACTCAGCCACGAAAATGAACGAAGTGTACTGATAGATGAACCTCAGAAACATCATGCTAAGTGAAAGAAGCCAGACACAGATGGTCACACAACGTATGATTCTGCTCACGGGAAATAGGCAAGTCCACAGAGACAGAATGGGGTTGGGGCATGATGGTATGAGGAACAGCTGATTCATAGGTACAGCGTTTATTTTGGGTGTTGAAAATGCTTTGGGACAGATAGAAATGGCGGTAGCATGACATCGCACATGCACTAAATGGCGCTGAACTGTTCACTTTACAATGGTTCATTCTGCATGAATTTCACCTCAATAGAAAAAACATAAACAAAATACCGTTTGCCTCTTCACCCAAAAAAGGTTGTAAATGGTATAAAAGAAAAAAGCACATGGGTTTTCTCTCCTGGCCCTGGGATGAGTGACATTTACCCCGGCTCTCTCTGTTTCTGCGACCTTGGACATGTGGAAGAGAACTTCAGAACGGCAGAACTAGACCGAGAGCTTTCTACAAGCTTTCTACGGACGGTTCTTCCTTTATAAACTGCAGAGAGTGTTGACAAAATTATATTACATAAGTCGGAGTGAAAGAAGGCACGGAAGACTATGTCCACACTGGGTCTTTGGGTTACAGGTTACAGGGGTTACCCAGAGTCACTGTCCGGAAATCTAAGAATATCTTCCTTGTCATCACAAAACCAGATGTCTACAAGAGCCCAGCTTCAGATACCTCCGTAGTTTTGGGGGAAGCCAAGATCGAGGATCTGTCTCAGCAGGCACAGCTAGCAGCTGCTGAGAAATTCAGAGTTCAAGGTGAAGCTGTTTCAAACATTCTAGAAAACACACAGACTCCAACTGTACAAGAGGGGAGTGAAGAGGAAGAGGTTGATGAAACAGATGCGGAAGTTAAAGGCGTAGAATTGGTCACGTCACAAGCAAATGTGTCCAGAGCAAAGGCAGTCCGAGCCCTGAAGAACAACAGTAATGATATTGTAAACGCACGAGGACTTTTTTTTTGGTGTTTCAAAAGAGTAACTGCAGCTTGGTTTGAAATTTGTACTGTTTCTATCATTAATAAAGTTAGGGCTTCTTGTTGGATTAAAAAAATTCTATTACATAAGTATTCAGGGATAATAGCAAATTTTTTTTTTTTTTTTTTTTTTTTTTTTTTTTTGAGACAGAGTCTCGCTTTCTTGCCTAGGCTAGAGTGAGTGCCGTGGCGTCAGCCTAGCTCACAGCAACCTCAAACTCCTGGGCTCAAGTGATCCTCCTGCCTCAGCCTCCCGAGTAGCTGGGACTACAGGCACAAACCACCATGCCCGGCTGATTTTTTTTATATATATATATATTAGTTGGCCAATTAATTTCTTTCTATTTTTATGGTAGAGACGGGGTCTCGCTCAGGTTGGTTTTGAACTCCTGACCTTGAGCAATCCGCCCGTCTCAGGCTCCCAGAGTGCTAGGATTACAGGCGTGAGCCACCGCGCCCGGCCAATAGCAAATTTTTTTTAAGTATTAATATTCATTACCTGCTTGTTAAAAAATTAGGACTAGAGGGCATTTCAGGGGGGTCGGAAAAAGGCTGTGAAGTGTGTGGTTGGGGGGAAGGGTTGCAGGACTTGATTTTTTTTTTTTATCTTAAGTCATACGGTAATTTTTACAGCCAAGTCAAGGCATTCCTCTAACAATAAACTGATATTTGTATCACTTAATATCTAATATCACATTGTAAAGAAGCCATCAAATAACAATGATGAGGACAAGATTGTGTATAAGGGAAATATTTCTGTTGGCTTTCATTTCGAATTGGCTTTGTGTTCCTAAAATGTGAACAAGTGCCCTTCTTTGTGAAAATTTCCAATTCAGCTGTTTATCTAACCAACTGCTGGCAAGGCTAGTGAGTCAGCATTGTTGTTTATAGAGTCATTTTCTATAATAATGATCTGATTTGTACCTATGAAAACTCCGTAAGCCACAGTGACTTTTTGGCGTATTCCAAAAAAAAAAAAAAAAAAAAAAAAGAATAAGAATGTTTCTTTAGATGCCAGCCCAATTTAATATAACATTTTGTCGTTGTTAGATTTCATAGCCATTGGTTTCTGTGATGTTTTAGAGGTTATCTAGCTATGACTTAAAGTAACAGTTTATGTGAAATAAATATTTATGTACTTTTTTTTGTTTTTGAGGGTCTTGCTCTGTCACCCAGGGTGTAGTGCAGTGGCACAATCACGGTTCATTGCAACCTTGAATTCCATCCTTCTGCCTCAGCCTCACAAGTACCTAGGAGGGCAGGCACATGCTACCATGCCTGGCTAATTTTTATATTTTTTTGTAGAGGGGTCTTGCTATGTTTCCCAGACTGGTCTCGAACTTGTGGCCTCAAGCAATCTTTCTGCTTTGGCCTCCCAAAGTGCTGGGATTATAGATGTGAGACACTGTGCCCACCCAGCCGCCTTTTGTACTTTTGCACAACATGGTGTTTTTTGGTTTTGTCACATAGCCCCATAGTCTTTCCAAATATCTTTTCTGTTAAGCGATGAATTAACAGCAAAAAAATTAAATTGTTTCAGACTTCACTTTTGTTTTGATGAGAATCCTTACTGTAAAATATATGCCAGTTTCGCAGAGCTCTCTGGAGAGCATTTCAGATTAGGAAATACAAGAAATCTCATGAATTACAAATATCTCTAGGAGACTGTGTCCAGAAGACTCAAAACAGTGGCCCAAAATATCCCATTGAAAAGGGGTCCTGCAGTCAAATTTGAGACATATTTTTTTTATGTCTAATGTCTTTCTAAGAGACGGGCAGTGCACTTTAGTATGTTTGAACCTCTGAGCAGTCTTGCAGGAAAGAAGCATGTTTAGCTTTGTATAACTCAGCGTTTCCCTAAGAGACTTGGTAGCGAGGGCCCTCAGTTGTGTCGACCCTTAGTAAATGTCCCTGAAGGAGCACTTAGGAGCGGTCTGGGGAGATGCCAGAGGAAGATGGTCTCAGAGGGTCCTTTCTGGTGATAACATTTTATAGTTCTGGTAAGGATCTTACCCGCTATTCCTCCGTCACTTTAATAGCAAAATACCATTCATCCCATTCTTTCATTTTTTTGTCTTAATGTGTCCGATCGCGTAGGCTGTAAACAAAATGGCACCAAGCTTGGCGACGTCATCCTTCCACCCTGGGCAAAAGGGGACCCTCGAGAATTCATCAGAGTCCACCGCGAGGTAATGGGAGCACGCTTCGCAGTTAAAGTTGGATGTCATTGGGTCGTTGATGGCAATACACAGGGCCTTGAGCAGTGTATCACCTGTTCATTCATGTCACTAAGAGAGCAGTTCCTCCTTATTTGTAGGAGATACGTTCCAAGACCCCCAAAGGATGTCTGAAACCATGAGTGGTACTGAACCTCACGTGTACTATGCTTTTGCCTATACATACGTACCTATGATAGAGTTTAATGTGTAAATTAGGCACCATAAGAAATTAACAACAATAAGTAATAATGAAATAGAACAGTTATAGCGATACACTGTAATAAAAACTGTGTGAATACGGTGGTCCCTCTCTCTCCCTCAGAATACCGCAATATTTTGGGACCGTGGTTGACCACAGGTAACTGAAGCTACAGAAAGCAAAACCATGAAAAACAATACTACTGTATTGTCTTTATGATTTTTAGTTATTTTTAGTTCCTGTTGACCACTGGCCCAAGTTTCTTGTACTTTCTGAGCAAGTGATAAATCTGAGCCCATGACTGAACCTGTGCCTTGAAATCGCAGGCTCTGGAGTGCGATTACGTGAGTGCCCATCTACACGAGTGGATCGACTTAATCTTTGGGTATAAACAGCAAGGCCCCGCCGCGGTGGAGTCTGTGAATGTCTTCCACCACCTCTTCTATGAGGGCCAGGTGGACATCTACAACATAAACGACCCACTGAAGGAGACGGCCACCATCGGGTTCATCAATAACTTCGGCCAGATCCCTAAACAGGTGAGGATGGTTTTTTTCTTGTCATCAGTGTACTCGTGTTTCATTTTGTGAATTTTGTAATATTACTCCGGGAGGTAGATGATGTATGATAAATAGGTTTAGATTAAGTTAATGAAGAACCATAAATATACCACCTAGTAGGTTAGAGAGATTCCCAGATGATTGCTTTTTTTTTTCTCATTTTCACAGTTCAGATAAATAGAAATTTTGTCATTTAAAGAAAATTTTCACTGATAGGCTAGTACAGAATATACTTTTTTATACGTACACAAGACCTAACACAAGGGGTCTTGTAGGTGACAGTGTGTGCAGAGGTGGCTTTTCCTCTAGGAGCCATGGGGAGCCACTTCTGATTTTAGCCAGGGAAACCACATGGTGGTCATAGTTCAGCTTTAACTGGGCCGGGCGTGGTGGCTCACGCCTGTAATCCTAGCACTCTGGGAGGCCGAGGCGGGAGGATCGCTCAAGGTCAGGAGTTCAAAACCAACCTGAGCGAGACCCCGTCTCTACCATAAAAATAGAAAGAAATTAATTGGCCAACTAATATATATATATATATAAAAAAAATCAGCCGGGCATGGTGGTTTGTGCCTGTAGTCCCAGCTACTCGGGAGGCTGAGGCAGGAGGATCACTTGAGCCCAGGAGTTTGAGGTTGCTGTGAGCAAGGCTGACGCCACGGCACTCTAACCTGGGCAACAGAGTAAGACTCTGTCTCAAAAAAAAAAAAAAAGTTCATTCTGGCCTCAGTGTGTATGTCTCTGTCTCTGTCTCTGTCTCTCTCTCTCTGTCTCTCTCTCTCTCTCTCTCTCTTACACACACAGACACACACACACCATGCACGCAGACTCTGTAGGGCAAGCAATTTGGGAGCAGACAACCACTTATTATATACAGCTGTTGTAGTAGTTTGGGGAACACACGGTGCTAGCAGCTGGGTTAGATGACTGACGCAGGTGTGGTGAGCGCCGTGCTGTGAGGGCGCGTGCCGCAGGGATGCCTGGGAGGACACGCAGTAGCTGCTCTCCCGCCATCTAGGACTTGGAGAGGAAGACCCAGACGTAAGCCCCTCAGCACCCAGATGCTGTGGATCCCTGCTTCACGTTCAGCGATGAGCAAACCTCCTTGAAGAGATGCCATCCCTTCCCTCACCCCTCTCTGATCCCCATGGCCCAGGGCGCAGCAGGGAGGGAGGGAGGGACGCACCAGGAGTAACCGGGGAGTGGAAGAGGCAGGCTTTGCAGAACCGGTCAGACCACACGCCCTTCCCAAGCACCAGTGGCTGCACACTTCAGCCCTGGCTGTCTTGTCTGTTCCTCCTCTAGATGTTTCTCCTGGACACCCTTTTTGTGTCCAAAACCTACAACCTTCAAAAAGGGTGTCCTTTTTGTAGGTTAACCGACTCCAAGGTTTCCAGTGTTGACGCTTGAAAACACGTGGAACAAATGGCAAGTCTCTGTACACGGAAAAGCCATGGCAGACAGCCGGCCAGCTTCTAACTGCACCATTGACAATGCAGTCTGATCCCCCAATAAAAAAAAAAACGTGTTTGCTTTTAAAGCAGAATACTTGTTAAACTGTACTCACAGTGAAAGAATCTCAGTTACACCTTTATTCAGTTAAATCTTTCCATTTTTCCCGAGTTGCAAGGTTAGGAGCCATGTTTCAGGCCCCATGGGAAACAAACATTCTGAGCAAAAAAAATCAAGACACTGGCACTGTTGAAGTAGTTTTGTACTACTTTGGAGTATAAGAGGCCAGTGGTCTGGGAAACATGGATTAGACGCCACTGTATTTCTACAACATTCTAATGAGTAATAAAGGGTACTTTGAAGTAGAGCCTAAAATATGTAGATTTTATGGTCACTGTATCCATGCATCTTTATTTACTTGCCATCTGATACCCTGCTGTGTACTTAGGTCTCACATATGAAAGTTCTTCAGTAAATGTTCATTCATGAGCATGCTGTAAAATGTGTGTTTACGGAACACTGATCCTGTGCCCCTATTATGTAGATAAAATAGGAGCAAAACATTTAATGTATGTATGTCTTCCTTTATACAAACCATTTTTTCTGTTTCTTTTCTCTTGGAAACCCAGAATATCTGATTCACAAAGTGTGATAATATTTATTCATCTTAAAAATCATTGCATCTGGCCGGGTGCGGTGGCTCACGCCTGTAATCCTAGCTCTCTGGGAGGCCGAGGCGGGCGGATTGCTCAAGGTCAGGAGTTTGAAACCAGGCTGAGCAAGAGCGAGACCCCGTCTCTACTAATACAATAGAAAGAATTAATTGGCCAACTATATATAAAGAAAAATTAGCCAGGCCTGGTGGCACATGCCTGTAGTCCCAGCTACTCAGGAGGCTGAGGCAGGAGGATCGCCTGAGCCCAGGAGTTGGAGGTTGCTGTGAGCGAGGCTGACGCCGTGGCACTCACTCTAGCCTGGGCAACAAAGCAAGACTCTGTCTCAAAAAAAAAAAATCATTGCATCTAAGGTTTTTCAGATATCCTCCTCAAATACTACTTTTCCAACAGAAACTACTATATGCCTGTTTTGAAGATCTATGATAGTTGACAAATAATAATATTAAATGTAGATTAATATTTTTAATCTTGTAGAAATACTGACCGAAGATACAAAAGATGCTTATCTTTTTTTTCCTTTATAACAAAGCAAAGTGAAAACAGGGTAATCACGTTCACACTTTGACCAAATTAGTAATAGCTAAAAGACACCAAAGTGATGCTGCTAAATCACATAAAGTTCAGGTTGAAACCAGAAATAATCTGATTACAGATTATTTAATCTGATTGCAGATTATTGAACGCCTGCCTGCCTTCCATCGCACAGAATGGTATTAGGCTGTAAATATTTCATTATATATATGCCACAATTTGTTTATCTGTTCATCCCTTGATGGGTGTCTGGGCTGTTTCTGCCCAGTTGGTTGATTTCTAAACATCACTGGAAGATGATTGTCAGTCGGCTGTAGTTTGAGTAAATTAAGTTTCAAGGAAAGAATATTATTAAGAAGTCGGCGTAGAACATGACAGTAGCCCAAGCTTTAGTATCATAGTCCTGTCCCTCCTTACTAAGATGTGGGTTCTCTGGCAACCTTCTTATAGCCTCTTTGAATTTCTTTTCTTAGCTATAAAACTGGGGGTAACACAGGACCTCATGGTGGTTATGAAGCTTAAGCGAAATAAGGCCCTCGTGCCTGGCGTATAAAAGGACTTAGTAAATGTTCTCTTCTCTTTCATTATAAAACGTGTCATCTTCCTTTGTGCCAGTTATTTAAAAAACCGCATCCACCGAAGAGAGTGAGGAGTCGCCTCAACGGAGACAACGTGGGCATCTCTGTCCTGCCGGGATCCACCAGTGACAAGATCTTTTTTCATCATCTAGACAACCTGAGGCCTTCGCTAACGCCCGTAAAAGGTAAGGTGATGGGAAACAAACTTTTGATGGGATTATTTAATAGTCCTAGTTTAGCAGTAACAAATTGGCTTTTTCACAGTAGTGTAATTTGTGTAATGAATACTATATGTTTTGTGCTAAGTTAAATACTTGTTTAGTATTCTTTTTTCCCCTTTTTCTTCTGTTTTTTTTTTTTTTTTTTGGCCTGTTGGATTTTGCTGCAGAAAGAACCAAATGGTTTTCTTGTTAAGGCAGTCAAAACTCTAAAATATCAGATTCTCACCACTTTATATGTAGAAAAAGCATTTGTCCTCATTGTTCATTTATGCATATGTATATTCTGCCTATCAGAAATAGCAATAAGAGGACATATTATTATTATTATTTTTTTTTTTTTTTTTTTTTTTTGAGACAGAATCTCACTTTGTTGCCCAGGCTACAGTGCTGTGGCATCAGCCTAGCTCACAGCAACCTCCAACTCCTGGGCTCAACCGATCCTCCTGCCTCAGCCTCCCGAGTAGCTGGGACTACAGGCATGCGACACCATGCCTGGCTAATTTTTTCTATATATATTAGTTGGCCAATTAATTTCTTTCTATTTATAGTAGAGACATCTTGCTCAGGCTGGTTTCAAACTCCTAAGCTCAAATGATCCACTTTGGCCTCCCAGAGAGCTAGGATTACAGGCGTGAGCCACCACGCCCGGCCTAGTATTCTTTTTTTTCCTTTTTCTTCTCTGTTTTCTTTTTTTGGCCTGTTGGATTTTGCTTCAGAAAGAACCAAACAGTTTTCTTATTAAGGCAGTCAAACTCTAAAATATCAGAATCTTACCACTTGATATGTATAAAAACATTTGTCCTCATTTTTCATTTATGCATATGTGTATTCCGCCTATCAGAAATACCAATAAGAGGACACATTCTAAATATGCCATTAAAAGGACATCTTTCTTTTATCTAATGCTCTAATGAGATAACTAAAAGCATTTTTGCAAGTAGTTTTTTTCTTCCTTAGAATGAAAAAAATGTTTCGCGAAATCTTAAAGTTGTCACTTTTTAAAAAAATTCCAAGCATCAGAGCATCAAATTCTGGCCGACGGGGTTGGCTGCCACGCTGTGCCATTGCCTCATTACGAGCCTTGCTCTGTGCCAGCTTCAGTCGCTCCCCAGTGACTGTTGTGGAGGACTTGGGTGGTCAGCAGAGTTCTGCTGTGGAGCAAGGAGTCTGTGCCGTTTGGGGAACCTCGTGGCCTTCCTTCAGGAGGGCTGAGGGCGGCTGTAACTTTGGGAGGTGGTGAAGTCAGAGAGCGATGGACGGTCTGTGTCCCTGTGACGTTCTAGGGAGCCTCCCAGATTACTCTTTTCGGTCCTAGGGATGCAAGGCGTCTAGAAACAGGAAGGCTGGAGGGAAGCCCCGCAGAGGACCTGGCAGGGCCAGCATCCTGCCCAGGAGGTCTTGGAGGAGACTCCAAGGCCAAGCTGTATCTCTAGGATCATTTTGTCTTCGTGTGGGTGTCAGGATGCTTGATTGCTGTGAATATATACGAGGTTACTGTTTATTAGCTTTCCCTGTTCCTGTCTTAATGCCATCATTTGTTTCTTCACAGAGCTCAAAGAGCCCGTGGGACAGATAGTATGCACAGATAAAGGCATCCTCGCAGTGGAACAGAATAAGGTTCTCATCCCACCCACCTGGAACAAAACCTTCGCCTGGGGCTACGCAGACCTCAGCTGCAGGCTGGGAACCTACGAGTCAGACAAGGTCTGCGTTGTTTCTTGCGTGCTCGCTAGTTCTTCCTCGGCCTGGATGGTCCTGGTTAATAGAGGTGGGGAGAACCCAGGACAAGGGCCTATCTCAGGCGTCCTCAAACTACGGCCCACGGGCCACATGCGGGTGTTTTTGCCCGTTTGGTGTTTTTTTTTTTTTTTTTACTTCGAAATAAGATATGTGCAGTGCGCATAGGAATTTGTTCATAGTTTTTTTTTAAACCATAGTCCGGCCCTCCAACAGTCTGAGGGACAGTGAACTGGCCCCCTGTTTAAAAAGTTAGAGGACCCCTGGCTATTGGCTGTTCCTCCACAGCCCAGAGGAAAGGAGAGTCTTGCTGCGTCATGAGATCGGGATAGAGGAGCTAGTGGAAAAGTCAGGTTTCCTGCAGAACAAGTCTCTTCTGGAAAGTTATGTGACAGGGGCTAGCAGTTCCCTGCCCACTCAGAGAATCCCTCAAGAGATCCTAGCCAGCAAGGTGCCCGACATTTCTGCCAACCTGAATAGCCGCCTTTTGGAGAGCTACCATCTGGCCCACTTTTCATCTTAGTCGTCTAAACAAGCTGACAAAAAAAAACCTGTCACCCCACCCCACAAGAAGCAGCAGCAGCAACTGTTTGGAGTCCCGTGAGTGTCTCTTAGAGAAGCCATATGTAGTGACCCTTGAGTGCCCTGTGTTTGCCCTGCCACAGTCCCCTCCCGAGTGCAGGATGGGTAGGATCCGCACAGTCTGTAGTGTCACACGTTACACACGGTTCCGTTCGGTTGATGTTCCCCTTACGCTGCAGCGCTCACGCTTGCTCTGTACGTTCCAACTGCTGCAGAACACACACCCTTTTACCACATTACCCCCTGCGTCTTGCGCAGCATCACACACTTTGCAAACCGCATTCCCAAACTGGAGAGCCCGGAGACCCTCACTGGTTAGGAAGCCGTGAGAGCAGTTCAGGGTGAGCAGCAGTGGAGGCGACGCTAAAATGAACCAGGCCCAGGACGGGAGCCGGTATCTGCCTGCGCGGACGTCCTACCCCTTCACTCGGCTCTGCTCCCCGAGTTTCGGAGGTCCCTGGCACCTGATGGCCTGTGTGTCCCGCACCTGTTGTGTCTTACAGGCCGTGACCGTTTACGAGTGTTTGTCTGAGTGGGGCCAGATACTCTGCGCCATCTGCCCCAACCCCAAGCTGGTCATCACGGGCGGCACGAGCACGGTGGTGTGCGTGTGGGAGATGGGCACCTCCAAGGAGAAGGCCAAGACGCTGACGCTCAAACAGGTACGGAGCGTGCGGAAACCGCGAGGGGGGGGACGTGGTCCGTCTCGGGGGCCCGTGCTCTGTGGGAGCCGGAAAGCTTCCTTAGTGCTGCCTCTGGGGTTTGCTGAGCACCAGAGTTGTGAGCCAGCGCTACTGAAAAGCAAGCATATTCTTCTGCCAGGCCAGGTGGCACGTTCTAAATACTCAGGAACTGCTAGCAATAATCTGAACCTTCTTCTTCAGAATACTTCCTTATTTCCACACACTGCCATTTATCTGGGTCCTGTTTCCCTCCGTATTCCTGCAAAAGAGGGAGAGTCCTGATTCTAGTCTGAAGAAGGAATCGAATCCCCCTCGGGCACAAATGTGCAGGCGTCTCTCTCGTTGAGAAGCAGGACTTGTGCACAGTGACACGCCAGGGCCGTGTTCTCCCTTTATCTTTCTAGGAGTGTGCACTGCAACCACGCGGTTCTCGCAGTCTGCATTTTTTGGGGGAAGAAAAAAAAAATCATCCACTGTGGCTCCTTACAGTGGAATAAACCAAAGTTCGTGGCATAAAAGAACAAAGAGTTCAAATTCTGTATTTTGGGGCCCCGTAACGAACATACACTTCCAGATAGATAGAGATGGGATGAAGAAACCCAAGCCGGGTTGCAGTTGTCGCTCCCCATCCTTCTGAGAGCCCGGCCCAAGACCAGGAAAGAAGTAATGGGAAAGTAGGAGAGAATATTCCAGAATAGCCCAGACTTCTCTCTTCCCCCGCCCCCCCTGTTGGCTGAGGCAAGGGCAGTCAGCAGCAGCAGCAGCAGGGGGAAGGACCTGCCCCCGGCTTCTCAGACACCCCTGCTCCGGGGCCCCCCGCTGCCCAGCACGCATGCACACCTGCCGTCGTTTCCCGACGCTTCCGGGAGCTTCTGGGGTGGCTGCAGTACCTCGTCGTTGCGGTCGGTTGGCCCGACTGTCCTCTGCTCTTACTTGCAGGCCCTGCTCGGCCACACGGACAGCGTCACCTGCACCACAGCGTCCCTGGCCTATCACATCATCGTCAGCGGGTCCCGCGATCGCACCTGCATCATCTGGGATTTGAACAAGCTGTCGTTTTTAACCCAGCTCCGGGGCCACCGGGCCCCCGTGTCCGCTCTTTGCATCAATGAGCTGACGGTGAGCGGGGTGGGTCGCGCGCTGGGTTTGTGTTCAGGAAGAAAAAAAAAAACAGGCGGTCCCGGCCGACCTCAATAGGCAGTGTCTCTGAGCGCCTTATGCGTCGACCCACCCACAGAGCCGTTTGACGTTAAAACGCGTTCACTGCCGCTGCGTACTTTACAGAGAAAGCAAAGTTCGGTTAAAGTAAAACAAAGCATTCTAGCATGTGCTTTTTTTAAAGAACGAGGAATCGTGGGATTTGTTAATAAGAATGTTAGAAATCCGTTGATATGTTCAATGAAATGTAGTCAGATGGTTCGTCTATTGCGTGAAGTGAAAAGAGGAACGGTTTGGGTGCCCAAATTGAGAGAAAGATCATTAACAGAGCCATTTGCAAAATAGGGTTATCAGAGGGTATTATCTCTTCTCGGAAGCAAATCTTGCATGTATAAATAAATAAAATAAGGCAGAATGAAATGAATACACTGGCCTAGGGGCCCCCCACTCAGACGAAGCCCAGCTGGACTGGACGAGAGGAGCACTCGCTACTACTAAGATGAGCCGGTGAGCAGGGGAGCTTACGGGCGGGTTTAGGAAGGCCCAGGCCGCTGTACCCAAGCGCAGGTTGTCACCTTAGAACGTGGACGACGCCTCCACCTGCAGACCGGCCTTGGGAGTCAGCAGGAATCCCCCTCAACCTCACTTCTTAGCTGTACACACCCATCCCCCCCTCACCTTGACCCCTACCCGAGGGCCGTCCCTGCGACACAGAGCGACTCTTCCCACATCACCGCGTGGCGTTCTTGTGGTCACCCCACACAGGCGGCTTTGCTTCTGAAGGCGGCTGCCGCGTTTCTGACTTCTGCCAGAAGATAGCCAAGTGTCATGCACGTAGTCAGGCGTTTTGTAGCCACGCAAAGAAAAAGGAACACGAAGTTGGGTCCTAGTGACCGGCACCGAGAGTGTCTCGACTGGTCACAGTAGGAACAGTGGGAGCCGAGGAGCGTGGGAGACATGCAGGGGGTAGTAGAGTCAGCTCAGTGTTTGGTGTGTTTGAAAGGTTTGCGAAGTTTTCACAACGACACCCTGGGCTGGCCCTTCAAAGGTTTGAGCTTTACGAAAACGTGGGTGCCACGGAGCCGCCATGATCCAGGGTTACTCGGAGTCCAATGCTTGATCCCATTGTTCAGAGCGCTTTGTTTTGAAGTTGTTAAATCCAGAGAACTGTATTTGTAGTCAGTTGATAGTAGAGCCAGTACGCACCCACTGGATTGCAATGGTTCCTGCAAGTACCTACAGGAGGATTTTTTTTTTTTTCTTTTTAAGCTGCTTTTGTCATCTCTTAATAACTCTCGAAAAGATACCTGTTTCTGTCACGTTTCTCCACGAAGTATCAAGTCAGCTTTCCTTCAGTTTGTATGTTGGACCGAAGCTACTTTGCAGCTGCCCTTCAGTGATAATTCTCGTGGCTTAGCCCTCCTCACCGCGGGATCTGCGCTGATGCGCTCTAATCGAGCCCCCCCGCCCCCGCCACCCCGAGTAACTAAAGAAAGTCCTGCCCGGTGCAGGACGGAGTGGCCGTCTCTTGCCTCTTGCAGAGACTAAAGACGCCAGTTAAAGCTCAGCTACTGACACTCATTGCCAGAGCTGGTTCAGTGACCAGTACAGAGGTAGACATAGCAGTGCTTTGCTGAGTACTGTTTTTGTTTGGGTTCTGGTTTAGTTTTGGCCATCTTGGTAGAAGAAGAGCTGGGGCGGGGATGGGACAAGGGAGCAGCAGCAGGACCAGTAGGGGATGGGGCAGCTCGGGTGTGGTTGGAACCAGCCCAGTCTTTCTCCTTTCTGATCGTCATCCTTTCCTACCTTAATTCTTGCTCTGCTGCTACTGTCCGGCGCTCAGTCCTCCCTCTGCTTTGGCTGGCCATCCTCAAACTTCTGCAGGTTCTCAGGTGTCTCCTGACTGTACCGAACTCCACCAGGTGTCTGCTCAGGCTGGTTCCCGCGGCGGCACCCAGGCTATCTCGGGGGCGGGGAGAGAGGAAGCACGGTGCGGTGTGTAAGCTTTAGGGCTAGAGACTGCCGGCTTCACATCCTGACTCTGACACGAAGCAAATCACTGCAAATCACTTTTCACTTCCGTCGTTCAAAGCAGGGCTGGCGGTAACTGACCTCCCAAGCTCGTTTTCAGGGTTGGCCTGGGCTGCCCACCACAGTAGCCGGTGCACTGTAGTGGATGCTTCAGAAAGCACCTTACTGCCCTTAGCAGCGGCGAGTTGCGTTCTCATCAGGCCCGACAGAGCCCGGCCTGGAGAATTTGAGAAGAAAACGTGTTCTTTGTGTCTTTGGAACTCGTGAAAACGTGAGCTATCAGCTGTGAGGGAGTCTGAGGGTATATTAAGATTGAAAAGAAGTGACCCACATACCAGTCCCCTTCCTTTTTCCCACATCCCTCCACCCCTATTGTGAATACAGATTTTAAAAGAGGATATTACAGTGTTGCCAAGATTTTCATCATTTCATTTATCGAAGAGAGAGAAAACAACTGTATCTGAAAATGTTCTCTCCCATCCCGTAGCTTTGGTGTTTGGACTATTTTTTTGTAAAAGTAGGTAGATTCCTGCCTCTAAATGAAAGGTATAAATAGATTTTGTTAGCCACAGGAGGAAGAAGAGAGGTCCTTCCTCTCCTCAGATTGCAGATAGTTCTGTTGTGGAATCCGCCCTTGCTCAGCAGTCTGCTGGGGACATAAACCTACCTTCAGTCTCCCTTGGAGATCCCAGCGGCCACGGTGTCCAGTCAGCTCTGAATTCTTTTTGTTTGTTTGTTTTGAGACAGAGTCTCACTCTGTTTCCCGGGCTAGAGTGAGTGCCGTGGTGTCAGCCTCGCTCAGAGCAACCTCAGACTCCTGGGCTCAAGCGATCCTCCTGCCTCAGCCTCCCGAGTAGCTGGGACTACAGGCATGCACCACCATGCCCGGCTAATTTTTTCTATATATATATATTTTTTAGTTGGCCAATTAATTTCTTTCTATTTTTAGTAGAGACGGGGTCTCGCTCTTGCTCAGGCTGGTTTTGAACTCCTGACCTCGAGCGATCCTCCCACCTCGGCCTCCCAGAGTGCTAGGATGACAGGCGCGGGCCACCACATACCTGGCCATCACCTCTGAATTCTGAAAGAAGCCTCTGTTCAGGGTATTTTTAATTCAGCAAGCACCGCATGACAGGCTGCCTCGGAAATGACCCCGCCGGCCACCAGTCTAAGGACCCGAAAGGTTTTTTTTTTGAGATTCCGGCAAAGGATTTAATTAGTTTTCGAGGCCAGAATCTGGCATTGAAGGCAGCCAAGAGGACGCAGAGTTTTCCTTTGCCTCCCCAGGGGGACATCGTGTCCTGCGCCGGCACCTACATCCACGTGTGGAGCATCAACGGCAACCCCGTCATGAGCGTGAACACGTTCACGGGCGGCAGCCAGCACATCGTGTGCTGCTGCGTGTCGGAGATGAACGAGTGGGACACGCAGAACGTCATCGTGACGGGACACTCCGACGGCGTGGTGCGGGTGAGCGAGCCGAGGCAAAGACCCCGTCAGGGCGGTCGTTGCCCCGGCTTACCTGGGACTTGTAGCTGTCCAGGGTTTGAGGACACCCGGACAGGTGTGAGTGTCTGCCTAGCACACTCTTGCTCCGGCTCAGACGAGCCATGGCCGTGGCATCCTCAGACGTGAGGAGTGTTGTCAGTGGCTCTGGCCTCTTTCCTTCCTACGAAGTCGGCCTGTGAGTGCTCACCCTGACCCTGACCAGCTGGCGGCTTGTGACACAAGAGGGCCACTGAAGCCTGAGTCCCATGTCACCCTGGGGGTCGCTGGGAATGCGACCTGTGTCGAGTGTCGGGTGTCCGGCCTGTCAGCGTGGCTTCTTGGGGGGAAAACAGGGCAGGCAGGTGCGTTCTCTCTCTGTACGGAGAATCACAGGCTCGAACGCGCTTCCGGGGCCCCTTCCCTGCTGGGATCCCGGGGGTGGGGGTGGGGTCTCACCTGGAAGCTGGACACAGTGTGTCCTTCCCTTAGATTCCTAGGGGCTGGGCCTCTGCAGAAAATGAGATCAGCAGAGTATTTGCCCCCGTAGTCTACTCAAACGATTGAGGTTTTCCTGTCTCTTGCGCCTGTTTTTCTTTAATGGCGTTCTCTGTAAAAGCCAGGAGCTGCTGATCGCCGCCCTGCTCAGTCCTGGTCCCGTACCGAGAGACCGTGGCGAGGCTGGGAGGCCACCCCCACGCCACACCTTGTGCGCCCGACGGAGCACGCACGCACGCCAGCACACGCCCCACCCCGCCCCACCCCACCCCACCCCAGAGCCTGCTTTCCCGAGAGCAGTGCTGCAGGTTGCCAGACCTGTGAAGCGTTATATCCTAAAAAAAAAAACCCATAAGGCAGGTGCTTGCTTGGGCATTCCGCCTACTGTATGCCTTCGTGAAGACCTACGGTATACGCTGGTGTGTGTAGTGAGTGCTCTGGAAGGTTTTTGTAGGAAACGAAGAAGTTGAACCATGATTTTAAACTTACTTGGCCACGATCTTTTCCCTCTACTTTGAAAAAGCTGTTGCATGTAGGCAGTCCCCTGACACGCTTTCCAAGATACAGGGAAATTCAGTTATACCCAGCAACAGAAATGAAGTTGTCTGTTTAACCTAAGAGCGCATCTCCGTCCAGTACCATCTAAACTGTTTGCTTAATCTGTTTCTTAACTTATTTTCGTGCTTAACTTATTTTCTTATTTCCGTACTCACTTAAATGTAGTTTTGGAGAATGGAATTCTTGCAAGTTCCCGAAACACCAGCTCCCGAGCCTGTCGAAGTCCTAGAAATGCAGGAAGACTGTCCAGAAGCACAAATAGGTACTCAACGCTCTCTTAAAAACCGCTCGGTCCTTTTCCTGTTTCGTTTTCTCTTACATCACTGTGGGTGAACTCACACCAGACAGCACAGACAGAGCCCGAGGCTGGGCACTGCCCGCAGAGGCGTGACCGCGGCCTGCCCTGTAAATTCCTCTGGGCAGACGCGCGAGGTTTTCCCTGGTCTGCCGGGCAACGTTCGGCGTGGGGGGTAGCGTCTCGTGGACTCCACCTTCCATGCTAAACACAGCACCAGCTTCCTGGGGGTACCAGAGCCTTGGGCTCTCACTTCTGAAAACACAGAGCAGATCTGGAGGGCAGCGTGGGCTGAGTCGGGCCAGCTCTCTGCCCCAGGCCCGCGTCGGCCCTGCCCACCGCACGGCCACCGAATGCAGCACAGGTGACAGGGTGGAGCCGGGTGTGTAGACTGTTCTCAGAGTCAGACCAGCGTCCCCCTTCACAGTGCCCACCCCAGGCCTGCTCGAGGAGGGCGTTAATTTTCACTGGAGCCTAGCGACCTGCAGCCCGCTGTCTGTCATGTTCGTGAAGCACCTTAAAATTCTGGAGTGGGAGACAGAGATGTCGATTTCCGCACAGAGTGGCTGGAAACAGCCCTGGAACCAGGCTGAGAGGTGCTCTGTGTTGCTCGTCTCGGGAGAAGCTGCCCCCCCGGGTGTACGAGGGACTTCCCGGGAGGGACCGACCAGGGTTTTACGTTTGGCCTTCAGATGGTCTGTCCATGACCAATTTGTGTGCCCTGAGGATTCAGTGTCACTTTAATGCTACAAGGGACGCTTAGAAAGACACACAAATCACTTCTCTTTGTACACTGAAAATAGTCTTTCCTTTCCGTGCCAGAAAACAGCAGAGACCCCCACAGAGAGGCCATTTTAACACTAATGTTATGTTACTACATGTAAATTTCTTTTTTTCTTGTTTGTTTTTTTGTTTTGTTTTGTTTTGTTTTTTTGAGATAGAGTCTCACTTTGTTGCCCAGGCTAGAGTGAGTGCCGTGGCGTCAGCCTAGCTCACAGCAACCTCCAACTCCTGGGCTCAAGCGATCCTCCTGCCTCAGCCTCCCGAGTAGCTGGGACTACAGGCATGCGCCACCATGCCTGGCTAATTTTTTCTATATGTATTAATTGGACAATTAATTTCTGTCTATTTATAGTAGAGACGGGGTCTCGCTCTTGCTCAGGCTGGTTTCAAACTCCTGACCTTGAGCAATCCACCCGCCTCGGCCTCCCAGAGTGCTAGGATTACACGCGTGAGCCACCATGCCTGGCCTGTACACATAAATTTCTATGTCATCAATTGCAGCCCCACCACGAAGGTCATCTGGGTGTTTGGGGACATAAGAATTCAGTTCAGTAAGTGTCTGGGGGTCATCTGTTGTATCTGGCAGACATTGCAGTAAGGTGTCCAAGGAGAAGTGGGTCCCTTTTGTCTTCCTTAAATGATGCTTTTAAGTAAGTGATGGTAGAAGATGAGATGAAAGCGTGAGACAGAAGAAGGGGGTCAGATTCAGGGTGGAGAGACATGTGTACGTCATCTTCCTCCCTATGTAGTCATATGGTGGGCAGAGTTTGGCAAAAGTGGCAGAGAAGGGGAAACAGCCAGCCCACAAGGAAGGGTTGACTCTGGACAGCGTAGGAGCCGAGGGGACCTGAGGGCACATGCTGGGGAGAAAAGGCGGTGGACAAGCTAGGGTTTGCTGGAAATCAGAGCCGTTCCCAAGGCCACTTGTCTGGGAACCTTAGAGCTCATGACTGTAGTCATTGGGGTGGAGACGATTCACGTTAGTGCACCGGACTCCGTGTGAGCAGGAGGCAGGCAGATGAAGTATTTGTCTAAAAAATGGGTATGTGGGCCGGGCGAGGTGGCTCACGCCTGTAATCCTAGCTCTCTGGGAGGCCGAGGCGGGAGGATTGCTCAAGGTCAGGAGTTCGAACCCAGCCTGAGCAAGAGCGAGACCCCCGTCTCTGCTAAAAATAGAAAGAAATTAATTGGCCGACTAAAAACATATATAGAAAAAATTAGCCGGGCATGGTGGCACATGCCTGTAGTCTCAGCTACTGGGGAGGCTGAGGCAGAAGGATCACTTGAGCCCAGGAGTTGGAGGTTGCTGTGAGCTAGGCTGACGCCACGGCACTCACTCTAGCCTGGGCAACAAAGCGAGACTCTGTCTCAAAAAAAAAACAAAAAAACAAAAACAAAAAAATGGGTATGTGTGGTGGGCTGGCACTTGCATGCTCATATTATCACTTTCTCTCCTTTTTTCCAATATATATACTGTTATCCTTTAATATTTCTGGGGCGTTGGTTCCAGGACTTCCTGCAGACACCAAAATCCAAGGACACGCAAGTCCCTTGTAGAAAGTGGCCTAGTATTTGCATATAACCTGTGCACATCCTCCCATATACCTTAAGTCATCTCTAGATTACTTACAATACCTAATAGCGATGTCAGTGCTGTGCAGACAGCTGCGATGCTGTAGTGAGTGTGTAGGGAATAACAACGAGGAAAAAGATCTGTACATATTCAATAGACCAGTTTTTTTCCCCCCAAATATTTTTAATCCACAGTTGTTCGAGTCCACAGATGCAGACCCCACTGATGTGGAGGGCCAACTCCACTCATTTCTCATGCATTAGAACCCTAAATTTAAAGCTTCCGGCAATAACTCGCTCAGCTTTGTGACTGCTGTATACAAGGGGGCCCCTCCTCCCGAGCTTCTCCCTACCGTCTTGCGGAAAGAGTGTCCAAAAGTAACAGTGCAGGGTGAGAATTTCAAGAGCATGAAAGGCACAGAATTTATTATTAAAGACGTCCAGAAAGAGGGAGAACATATTTTTCAGTGGAAGATACCGGGGTAAGATTTTAGGGAAAGTGGTGCTCAGACCGTGCACGCTTCGAAGGCGGCCGACGCGGGAACGCAGAGACGCTGGGAAGGCAGGCGCGGGGCGGGCCGTCTGTGCTCTACCCAAACATCCCGGCATTGTCTTTTTCCTTTTCTGTTCTCCTTAGATTAGGGTTAGGGTTGGGAACTGGTGGGGGAAATACACGGCCAGAGCAGGGCCGGGGCCAGCCGCGGCGTGTCTGTGTTCTCTGACCCTCCCCGTGCCTCCCCACCCAGGGCAGGAAGCCCAAGACGAGGACAGCAGCGACTCGGACGCGGAGGAGCAGAGCGCCAGCCAGGAGCCCCGGGGGGACGCGCCGAGCCAGCCGGGCAGCGCCGGCCACCGGGCCCGGGCCTCCTCCTGCCGCGCCGCGGCCGCCTGGTGCACCGACAGCGGCTCGGACGACTCGCGGCGCTGGTCGGACCAGCTCAGCCTGGACGAGAAGGACGGCTTCATATTTGTGAACTACTCGGAGGGCCAGGCCAGAGCCCACCTGCAGGGCCCCCTTAGCCACCCCCACCCCGCCCCGGCCGAGGCGCGGAGTCACAGCAGACTGAAGCCCGGTAACTTGAAGTCCGGTATTCGCCTCTTGCTCCCTTCCGAGTGGCCGGCGGGTGGGGGGCGGGCGGTGGCAGCGGGGTCCAGCTCTCGGGGCCCCGTCCCTGACGCACTCTGTGACCTGGGCCACCCACACACGACGGTCGGCCTTGAAGTTTCTTCCGTGTGAGGTGGGCCTAGAGGCCCTGCCATACAACGGTGCGTGCAGTGCGCTGGCCGTTTGCTTTTTTTTTAATTTTATTTCTATACTAATTTGTCCAATGGGCATTTTCTTAACAGAAACAAAAATCTCAAACCACAACTGCATTCATTTGCAAATCTTGAAGTCATGAAAGCTTCTGAAAACAGCCAAGTTATTCACTACAAATAAAGTTATTCACTACTGGCCGGGTGCGGTGGCTCACGCCTGTAATCCCAGCTCTCTGGGAGGCCGAGGCGGGAGGAGAGGATCACTCGAGGTCAGGAGTTCGAACCCAGCCTGAGCAAGAGCGAGACCCCCGTCTCTGCTAAAAATAGAAAGAAATTAATTGGCCGACTAAAAACATATATAGAAAAAATTAGCCGGGCGTGGTGGTGCATGCCTGTAGTCCCAGCTACTCGGGAGGCTGAGGCAGGAGGATCGCTTGAGCCCAGGAGTCTGAGGTTGCTGTGAGCGAGGCTGACACCACGGCACTCACTCTAGCCCGGGCAACAGAGTAAGACTCTGTCTCAAAAAAAAAAGATCTCTTGAGGTCAGGAGTTAAAGAATAGCCTGGGCAACACATTGAGACCCATCTCTGAAAAAATAAAGCAAGCTGCATTAGCGGGTCACTCTGCCCAGCATAGAGTCAGAGTGACAGTCTTAGGCAGGAGAAACTGCACGCATCTTCTTGCATTGAAGGGGTCCCTTTTTCTTTAGTTTCTCTTTTCCAATGAGACATTCTCCAGCCTGGCCAGTGACTAATGTTCAGCTCGATTGCTTTATACCCTCAAAAGGCAGCAGCTGCTAGAGCTGGACCCGCTGCTGTTGCTGTATGTTGAGGTTCCCTAGCTTTTAAGGCCACCGTCTTAAGGTACGGTTTACCCCATGCTGGCTTTCCTGGATTCAGAATGTCCCACCCTCCGCTCCTCCGCCCCCAGGGTACCGGTGGGAGCGGCAGCTGGTGTTCCGGAGCAAGCTGACCATGCACACGGCCTTCGATCGCAAGGACAACGCGCACCCCGCCGAGGTCACCGCCCTGGCCATCTCCAAGTGAGTGCCAGCCTCTCCCCGGCTCCTCGTCCCGCCCGAGTAGTCACCTGTTTAGCCGAGGGCCACACACTGCCGCCCCCGTCTTGGGGAAAGCAGATTTCATTTGCATTATTGTTAGTGTCAAAGGAATGAATCTAGGCCAGGTGCAGGTGGCTCACGCCTGCAATCCTAGCACTCTGGGAGGCCGAGGTGGGCAGATCGCTCGAGGTCAGGAGTTCGAGACCAGCCTGAGCAAGATCGAGACCCCATCTCTACTATAAACAGAAAGAAATTAATTGGCCAACTAAAAATATATATAGAAAAACTTAGCCGGGCATGGTGGCACATGCCTATAGTCCCAGCCACTCGGGAGGAGGCTGAGGCAGGAGGATCGCTTGAGCCCAGGAGTTGGAGGTTGCTATGAGCTAGGCTGACGCCATGGCACTCACTCTAGCCTGGCAAATTGAGACTCTGTCTCAAAAAGAAAAAAAAAAAGAAAAAATGAATCTAAAGAAGAAACCTAACAGTGAATAGATTGTAATTCTGAATTAAAAAAAAAAAAATAGCCTTCTCTGTTCTTCAATGATGCACAGCAAAGGTTTGGTCCAGAGAGAGTTGAACCAGAAGTGTAAGTTCTGGCTCGGTCCCCTGTGTGTCTGTGTCCGTACTTCCCTGGGGGGAGCAAGGGGTCTCCCCCGTCACACACACCCAGGAATAACCCGGAGGCCTCAGGTGCACGCCACGCCTGCTGCGGGGTGACCCCTCCGCCCCGTCTCCTGCAGGGACCACAGCAGGATCCTCGTGGGCGACAGCCGGGGCCGGGTCTTCAGCTGGTCTGTGAGCGACCAGCCCGGGCGCTCCGCCGCCGACCACTGGGTGAAGGACGAAGGCGGGGACAGCTGCTCGGGCTGCTCGGTGAGGTTCTCGCTCACGGAGAGGCGGCACCACTGCAGGAACTGCGGCCAGCTCTTCTGCCAGAAGTAAGACGGGCACGACGCGCGTGTGTGCTTTGTCCGGGGTCCCTCGCTGCACTGAGCTCTCGGGATGCCAGTGACGTCCCGCGGGCAGGTTCTGGTTTGCCCCCCGGGAGTCCAGTATGCGGAGTCGCCGTGAACCAGTCTCCACTTCCCCTCTGTTCTCTTCCGATACTGCAGACGGGAGGCACAGTGCTGCCATACCAGAAAGCCCACGAGTAATCACAAACTCCCCGTCACTCCCGACTCGGAACGTGCAGCGCCTGCACGTTCCCGTGGCACGTTCCATGTTTGCACGAACGGCGTCCCTGTGAAATTTGTGTCTAGAAACGCTGTAGGCGCGTTTTAAGTTTCCTGTGCACCCCTCACCCAGCCACACCCTTTTTGCCCAGGCGTTCATGCTGTCACGAACACCTGTTGCCCCTTGTGGACGTCACGTGGTATTATTGTTTTGTGTGTGTTTCAGCTTTACATTTCAACTTAACATACCCTCTTTACTCTTCTGTAACTTTTTTTTTTTTGCTCAACGTTGTGTTTGAGAGCCATTCATTTAGGTAACCATGCTGCTGGTTATATTCATTTCTAACTATTACCAGTTATTATATGGCTATATCAGAAGTTATTTCCCTTTCTGATGACATCTTAAGGTTGTTGTTTTTTCCCCCCCATATTTTATCAGTATTGTAAATAACGCTACAGTGCACACACCCTTATAAATGCCCTTCTGTTAATAATACACAGGTGGAGTTTCTCTAGAGGTGATACAATGGAATTGATAAAACACAGACTTATTCTTGACCCCAACTAACTAGATCTTGCCAGATTACTCTCCGAAATAGTACTGATAGGTTACCTCCAACAAGGTGTGAAAAATCTTCAAGTTCCTAGTGATGGTTGCTACTGCCAAACTTTCTCACTTTTGCCAATCTGATAGCTAAGAAATAGTCCTCTGTTGTTTTTAACTTGCAGTGCTAGTGAGGTCGGACACTTGATGGCTATTTGGACTTCCTCTTGGATTGCTTTGCCCATTTTCCCTTTGGTTGTTCCTGTCTTTTTTTTTTTCCTTGAGGAGTTCTTTATATATTCTGGGCTCTACTCCCTTGTCAATCATACATCAGTCTGTGGCTCCTGTTTTAACGTTGCATGTGTTTTTTTTTCTGCCACCCAAGTTTTCAAATTTGATGTGGTCACATTTATTAAAATCCTTATGATTTTTGCTGTTTTGTGCATTAAGACTTCCCTTCCCTGTCCTAAGATCATAAAGATAACTTGTTTATTATCTTCTAAATTTCCAAAGGTCTATTTTTCACATTCGGGCCTTTAATTCATTTGGAATGTATTGCGGGGTATGGTGTGAGGCAGGGATCTATCTATCTATCTTTCCCCCTGTGAAAAGGCAAAAGGCAGCTGTCTGTCAGCGCCGACCTGGGTGTGCCACCTCTGTCAGCACTGCAGTCCCAGATGTGCACGCACAGTTGTCACTCTCCCTGCCAGGCAGCAGGAAAGACCCACAGGCAGTGCTCTTGGGGACTCCTTCGCAGAAAACACATCATTCTCAAATTGCATCTTCGCTCTTGAGGCAGTTGCCGAGGTTTCGTAGGCAGCAGCGTTGGCTTATTGGTGAAGGGATAGTCTTTGGGTTTGCACTGGCCAAATGCTCCCTGGGCTACTACCATGTTTCCCTGAAAATAAGACAGGGTCTTACGTTTATTTTTCCTCAAGAAGACGCCCTAGGGCCTATTTTCAGGGGATGTGTCATTTTTTTTTTTTTAAGTACAGTACAACCATCTACATTTATTCCAATAGGGTGAAGTTGTTTTCTTCTGGAACATCATCCTCACTCTCCAGACCCCGAATCCCATCCTGAATGTCTTGCGACTCTGTTTCCTTTAGAGCCACTGGCCCCGATCTCTCCTGTCGAGCACTAGAGCTCTCACGGGGCGGATGAGAAGGGCTGCTCCTGTTCTTTCCCGCTCCGAGACGACACGCATGGGTTGTGCAGATGCGCTGTGCAGCCACGCCTGTCACTATGCTGGTTTTCATCAGCCACCCATGACAGGCTGGTTTCGATACCACGGCCATCCACTGGGGCTGTTTTCCATAGCACGCCCATCGCACTGGGCTGAATGTTTCAGTCTTAGCCAACGCCATTGCATGGGCTGAGTTGTTCCTAGCCAGCGCATCACCGGATGATTTTTCATAGCCACGCCCATCACTGGGGCTGATTTTCGGGGTAGGGCTTCTATTGCACACATGCTTAGACATCCTGCTAGAGCTTATTTTATGGGTAGGTCTTATTTTCGGGGAAACACGATACTCTCTGTCGAGTTTTTTTGTTTCTTTTTTTTTTTTTAAATTCTGCTCAAAGAAATAGCTTCCCTGGTTTAACACTAATTTTCTTCATAGACTAAAACAAATACAGCATTCCCGTTAGTCCCCTGGTCACCCACAAGACAAACCAGTGTGGCCTGTTGGTATTATACAGGGCTGATTTTCATAGCCACGCCCATCACTAAGGCTTATTTTCATAGCCACGCCCACCACTGGGGCTGATTTTCATAGCCACGCCCATCACTAGGGCTGATTTTTCATAGCCACGCCCATCACTGGGGCTGATTCCATTCCATTATTGCTGTCTGTGAAGGCCTACAACTAATTGACTTTTTCCCTTTCCTTCAGGTGCAGTCGATTTCAATCTGAAATCAAACGCTTGAAAATCTCCTCCCCGGTGCGTGTTTGCCAGAACTGCTATTACAACCTACAGCATGAGAGGGGTTCGGAAGACGGGCCTCGAAATTGTTGAAGACTCAGCAAGCTGATTGGAGACCACGGTCTGTAGACCCCTTCCCGATAACCCCCGTCACAGCCTGGGAGGCGTTGGAAACAATCTCCGTTTACACATCTCTTCAATACCGCGTGTTTGAAGTGTTGAATTCAAAAGGGATCATTGAATAAAACGGGTGTAGAGTACAGTTAAAGGGGCACACGCCATTCAGGCCGACAGCACAAGAAGAACATGAGGTGGTTCCTAGGAGCAACATTTTCGATATCCAGTTCTCCCTGCTAACCATAGCTGTCTCCAAGGGAAAAAAAATCTTCATTTATTAACTGTCTTTTTCTTGCATCTCATTTTTATAGAGCTACTTATCCTTATTTGGAAAAACCAACAACCACCAAAAAAAAAAAGGCTTTTAGAAAATGGTTGTAAATCTGACTTCTTTGCAAGTAACTATATATATATTGTAAATAGGTATAAAGGCCTTTTTTTTTTTTTTTTCTCTAAATAAGGACTTAACTGCCTGTCACATGAAACTTCAAACTAAACCAACTAACTCAGTGAAACTAACTTACGGTTTGTCTGACATCCTTCCCTTACCAATCAATTATAAATATGTTTTTTAAATCCTCAAAGACATCATCTTGTAGTCTTTTTCTTTTCCTTTCAAACCCAGCCTGTGTGCCTGATGTCATTTCTTTCAAGTTGCCCACAGTATCTCCACCTAAACTAGGCTAGTAACCAAAATAACGCGGACCTTCTGTAGGAAGCAGCGTGTGGGAGAACGGGAGTCCAGCCGTGAGCTAAACCGGAAATACCTGGGCGTCTCGCACCCGGCCACGCACCACCTCAGTGTTGTTCTGATGTAGCAAGGCCCCTTTTAAATGTGTTACGTGGACTGCTGTCTGTTCAGAGCGTACCTGCTTGGCATTGCGTAAAGGTTTTGGCCAGGTGACCCACGGAGCGCAGGAGAGAGCCCTGCCTCAGCTAATGGAAATATATTTGCATGTAACCCCAAATTAGCTTCTCTTGCATAGAACATGATAAGTATGTGTCTTTGGCGACACTGATGTTCTAATATATCTTATTTTCAAAAAAAGGTTTAAAAAAAAAAACAGTGTACAGAATTAACATATAAAAAAACTTTGTTGTAAAACTGGATCATGTCGGAACTGCTTAACCTTTACCATTTAATGTCATCTACCTGAAAACAGTGAGATTTATACTGTATCAATGTCTATTTTTTTTGTTTTTGCTATGAATATAATTACAGTATTTTAATATTTAGTTATTTAATTTGTTCTACTAGTTGGATACAGAACACACAAACCCAGGGGGATTGAAGCTGGAGGGCGAAGGGATTAGTTTAGTTTATAGACAAGAGGCTCCAGTGGTGGGATCTTTTTAAATGTGTGTTGTGTACAAATATATATTATATATATATATATATATATATAAAGCAAATGAAACAGTTAATCTAGATTTTAACATTTTCAGATACTTAGTGATAATATTATGAACAATTCTAAAAGCCCTGTGATTTGAAAAATGTAGGATCATTAATGGCCCAAGGAAGGAAGAACAGGCCTTCACGCCCTCATGGGTGGGGGGAGGTATTATGCAAAGGACAGCGGCTTTGGCTTTTCCAACTTTTCATCTTCAGGCCCTGGTGAGAGGCACATTTATGCACTAAAATGCACATAATATGCACACGCATTCGAAAATAGGCATTCGGTACAATCGTGATCTTGTACCTACTGGGCTGAAACCAGCTTAAGAACAAATATGTTCTTCCTGATAACTAGGTCTCCAAGAGAAAAATACAAAGGCTGCTTTAGTGCCTTAATGCTTACTAAATTTAAATCTTTATTTACTTAGGTTTGAGCCGACAGTCTATTTATGATTACATATCAGAATCGATTAAAACACTTCCATTTCTAAAAGTTCGAATATACTTGTTAATAAAAGGATTATTGGCATTACTACTTTAACTTGAAGAAAAGTTGTGTTCTGTTTTCCTTTCTGTGTCTTACCCCCCCCCTTCCCCATCACCGTCTGACTTGACTTCTAATAAGTGATGCTGATGTTCTACAGCTGCAGAAATTGTGCTATCACGTGACCGCGGGCTTGGCCCCAGATGCCCCGTAGCAGTGTTATTCTACGCTTTTTAAAAGACACGTCCCTTTTGTCCATGAGCCATGTTTACCCACCACCCCCACCCGGTACCCGATGGCAGAGGTGTTCTTTTAAGACTTGAACCTATGAATGTGTGTATGTAGTTACTTAAAGGTTACTCCTCTTTGTAATATGAGATTCTAAGGGATAAATACTTTTAAACTTTCCGACACAACTTCCGTAACTAGAAGGTGAAAGCCAAAACCCTCACGGTAGTATTTCCTCTGGCAGCTGGTGCTGTGGGCAACTTTTGTTCAATCGGGTTTGTTTTCTGTCTTTTGGGTCTTTTAATTTGGTTTTGGGGGTTTTTGTTTTTTTTGTTTTGTTTTGTTTTCTTGCTTCTAATGGAGAAATCCCAGAATCGCTCACAGATATGAACATAAACTAATTGTTTCTCTGGATATCTTCCTGTTCCATGTAAATTTATTTCCCAGCACACATTCTCAACATGTACATCTTCCTTTGTGTGGTCCGTGTTCTTTCTCTGAGAGTACCTCACAGGGCTCCTGCCTGATCTTTGTAGTTTGTTTGTCCATCCATCCATTTCATCCATGTACCCTAACATCCGTGTGTAGTGTGCAACTATAATGTCATGCCTTTGGAGAGGAGAAGAGCTGCCCATAGCAGCCATCCGTCTGGATAATAGCAAAACACTCTAGAATAAGTTATTTTGCACTTTCTTATGTATAAAGTTGGTAGAAACTTATTTTTGCTTTGTATCATTTAAATACATTTTGTTTTGGTAAAATGAACTGTGTATAAAATATTTATGCCGTTAAAACTGTTTTTAGAAAGTATTTTTAATTTCAGCAAGTTTGGTTACTTGTTGCATGACTATTATTAACACAGCTGACTTTTTGTGTCAGGGCAATGTATATTTTTTGTCTTGTTATTAACTTGTAAGCCCTAGTATTGGCCAATTGTTTGTACAGCAAAGAAGTAAATTGAAGACACTGGCTAAGACTGGATTGACTGTGGGCTTTTGTACTATATTGCAGAATCCAATATCTGTTTTTTGGTGGTTATGTAAAAGGCCTGAAGAATTACTATCCAGTGTGCAATCTGTGATATCTGAATGTTCATTGTATATCTGTCTCTGATGCAAAAAGGTAGAGTAACACAATTACGTGATTAAATGCAATAGTCCAGGTACTTAACTTTTTTCATTTCAAATAAATACCTACTATTTACCACCAAAAAAAAATAATAATAAAAGGTTGTTTTTAAGTCAGTTCTTTAGGGAAGGAAAAAAAAAAAACTGATCTGTATAGTTTGTACAGTTCTTTCCTAGCTGTATTTCTTTTAGAAGCACCTGCTTAAGATCTCAGCGATCTTGGCTGTGAGGGTTCTAGTTCCATTTCTACTTTGACCCTTCCTTAAAAACCGGGCTCTGTGCATTCTGAGCTTCCCAGATTGCAGGGCCGAGTGTGCGTGGGTGGCGGCAGGGGGAAGCCAGTGGCTTCTGGAAGACGAGCCCCTCAGATGTGACCTATAGAAGACCTGCTGTGTTGTTTTTGCATATTTACCCTGGGCCTTATTCCCCATGCATCCTGTTGTGAAAAGCAAGCAACTGTGTGTGTGTGTGCGCGTGCACATGCACAGCCCACCCCATCAGGGCTACTCCATTGTGTCCTGCCCCTCTTCTGGAAGTACAGCAGCCACTGGTCTCTCCAGTTCAGCCTTCAGTCTGAGAGTGTTAGAATTCACAAATCCATTGTTGTTAGTAGCTTGTTTGGGTTTTTTTTTTTTTTTTTTTAAGCTGCTTTGGTTTTCAAATAGCCTTCCTGGTCAAGGAGGGTGTCAAAAACACTTTTTAAGTTTATTTAGGCTGTTCTGATGATTTTCCTCTTCCTCTTTCTACAGATGCTAAGTTCATTTGAGCTTGAACGGCAGATCCCCAAATTTGAGGACATTGGGCTTATTACAGATTTTACCTCGGTGCAGCCCCACTGTTAGGCAGAAGATAAAGGACTGCCAAGAACTTAAAAAAAAAAAAAAATAGCAATTTCTATAAAAATTAATGAAGGGTAAGCAAGCCCAGGGCCGTTCCCATGTCTTTAATGTGTTCTAATGACCTTCAGAAGGACAACAGTCATATTGCAAAATTCTCAAATGCAGAAATTCAGAGGTTAAAAGGACAAACATGCAAATGATGTTCGGTAAGTCCTTTTTCTGCCATTTCCTTCTCGTCTTCAACAAAATTCCCTCTCCACGCCTCACTTTCGCCCATTAGAAGTGGCCCAGCATTGGCTTAATCTCTTTGCTTTATGAATACTGTTTCCCCCACCCACTGCAAAGCTCTTTTATTATTTGTCATGTCTTCAGACTTTTGCTAGAGATGGCGCCGGGCCAAGGTACCACCCTCGGAGACAGCCTGGTGTTTTGGAGAGCCCTGAGTGGGCAGTAAGACTGAGGCTATTCTAACCAGCTGGGGAATTTAGGGAGCCTCTTGTTGGTTGTGTTCTCTTTGCAGCAGGTTTTCCTGCTTAAATACCAGCTTGTTGAAGAGGGAGGGCCTACGATACTGCTTCTTTAGACTTTTTGGTCTTAGGACTCTTTGACGCATAAAAGTTTTCAGAGACCCCAAATAGAGTTTGCTCATGTGATCATTGTAACGGAAATTAAAACAGTTTTAAATATATATAAAACTCCTTTAAAAATAATAAGACCATGATATATTAACATAAATTTCTTATTTCTATTTAATAAAACTTTTTCCAAACCTCAAAAAAAAAAATTTAGGCGAGTGGATTTGTTTTACAATTTTGCAAATCTCTTGAATGTCTGGCTTAATAGAAGACAGGTGGATTCTCAGAGATGACTCAGCATGGTCTGTTGTGATACTTTGTTTTGGTTGAAGCATCTGAAGAAAATCCACCCTCCCACAGGTATGTCCTTGAAAAAAGGGAGACTATTCAATAGCTTTTTCAGACAATTGTTTCTTGAAAGTAATCGTTTTAAGTTTAATAGCTTACCGCTTAAAGATTACTAAATCGAATCTGCAGTTATACCGATGAGGTTAAGATCCACTGGTCTGTCTTGCACTTTGAATGTATCTCTTATCCATCCATAATTTTATAACATCATGCATTATTTAGAAAAAAAATTTTTTTTTTTAAATCCCGATTCAAGCATCAGAGGCAGAAAAAATATATATTGGTTCACTGATGGGGCACTGCGACTACTGCAGGGTATGTAGATCTTCCAAATGTTTTTTTGTTTGTTTGGTTGGTTTTTTTTGAGACAGAGTCTCACTCTGTTGCCCAGGCTAGAGTGAGTGCCGTGGTGTCAGCCTCGCTCACAGCAACCTCAAACTCCTGGGCTCAAGCGATCCTCCTGCCTCAGCCGGGCATGGTGGCACATGCCTGTAGTTCCAGCTACCAGGGAGGCTAATTGTTTTTCTATATTTAGTTGTTTGGCTAATTTCTTTCTATTTTTAGTAGAGACGGGGTCTCGCTCTTGCTCAGGCTGGTCTCGAACTCCTGAGCTCAAGCAATCCTCCTGCCTCGGCCTCCCAGAGTGCTAGGATTACAGGCGTGAGCCACCTTGCACCTGGGCCAATCTTCCAAATGTTGATGTATTTTATTACATAGTGTAATACCAAAAAAATCACGTTAGTATATATGATATTTTAAAATACCACCAGCAGTCTCAGGAAATTTTAAGTCCTGGTGGCAGATGCAAGTTCTTTAACAATTCTGATTTTTGTTTAAAACCTAAAATTTTATCATTGGCAATAAATACTGCCTGCTGGTTTCCTTGAAGTGACAGGCCACTTTGCTAATTTTCAAGAGCACTTTCGTCATGGGACCATAGTTTGTCACCTGCTCTTTCAGTTACAAAAGTGTTTTCACAATCACACAAGAGCGTCTATTTGAGACAGCCGCTGTACTTGAGTATGCAGGTGCCTTGTGGACACCCCCCCCATTTTGTGACACACTGCTTTAGGGTCAAGATTTAATAAAAGTAACAATTTCTACTGCTTCTCCAAGGGCATTCTTAAGTCAACACTTTTTTTTTTTTTTGCTGCAAGTGCCTGGTGTATGGTCCCTACTACTAGTAGTTTGGTGCCACTGTCTTAATTCCATACTGGGGTTCCAACAGTTTTACCCACCTGTGCTCTTTAGCCTCGGTGCAAAACATCAATGCAATGAAAAAGGCAAATAACATTTTAGTAGTAGTATAAAAATAAACTCTGAAAGGGTCTCAGGACGCCTTGGGGTCTGGAAACCGGACTTGGAGAACCACTGGTCCAAGGCAAAGACGCAGGAAACAGTGCTACTTAGATCGTGAAGTAGCATGCGTGCAATCTCTTACTAAGGCTTTCTAATAAGGACTTTTAAAAGCCACATTATTCTAGTCAAAACTGTAAAATTTTAATGTAAAACTGTTAATCTTTTAATATTAGGTACAGTTCTAACTAGTATACTGGTTAGGAGAGTCAGTCTGGGGTCTGAGTTCTTGTTCTGCTCTCTGTGTGAGATCTTGGGCAAATGACTTAACCTCTCCAAGTCTTGAGTTTTTTATGTGAAAATCTGTATTATGATATCTGCCCACAAAGGAGTTATTATAAGGATTCGATCCAGTTTATATATATATGTGTGTGTGTGTGTGTGTGTGTGTGTGTGTATACATGCAAGGAAGTGCTTTACAGGTATGTTCTCAATACACTATAGTGTTAATTTGGAAATAAGAGCATAAAAGGGATGGTGCACTGAAACATTTTATGAAGGCCAAACGAAAGCCACTGGCAGGGAGTTTGTCTTCAGTCAGACACGCAGGAGGCAGAATGTTACGATGGGAAGAGCTCTTGGAAGTCATCAAGCCCAAGGGTTCACAGTGGCGTCTGGCGTTCCCAAAGCCAGGCTCTTGGTAAGTGGAATTCGCAGCTCTGCCTGCCAGCTTCTGGCTCCCAAGCCAGTGCTCTTTATAAGCAGCTCCCAATTTGTACTTTCTCATTTAGGTGACTGCAGGACAAGTGTACTTAGGAGGTTAACTCAGTGCCATGCATGCATACTCATGCCCTGCTTTATCAAGAAACTTCAGCCATCACACTTGCTGCCCAGCAAAGGAAAGTCTGCAAGCTGCATGCCAGTGCAGAGGACGGAGTCGTTTAAAAGAAAAACAACTTGTTTATGATCTTGCTTCTCAGGCACGACTATAAATTGCAAACAAAAGCTCTATCTTAAAAAACGCACTATCTGTTCACACAAGGAAGCCACTCCTTTGCAAACTGACTCTGGGAAAGTAACACCGTGGAGCAAAGGTTAAACAAACAGTCTTTGGTGATAAACTTGATCATTCAGTCTGGCTCTGCTGGCCAACATGCCAAGAGGAAGGAGGAAACAGTTCTACTAAAGCAGTGTTATCACATGTGTTTGTGGTTCCACTTCACGTCTGAGAATGTAGATGTGTTTCCTTGTAAGGTAGAAGTTTCTATGTTCAGCTGGGCCTTGAGGGAGATATAAAAATAACATACCTACCCTCTCCAAGAACTTGCTAGCCTATAAACAAGAGGTTTGCCTTCATGTAGGCATGTATAATTGAGTTTTCAGGTAGTCTATTCCATTCCTTACTGTTTCTAATTCACTAAGACTAATACTCATTTCCACAGTTTGTTTTAGCTCAGCAGTCTTCATCTTCATATTCTGTTATTTTATCACCTCATCTTTCATCTTTTATTGGATTCATATTCTTACCAAGTTACACGATACAAAGCCTTCCCAGGAAATTGTCTTCTGTTGCCTGGGGTGTTCCTCTATTGGGTTCTTTGCCAACTTCTTTCTTGCCTGCCTTTTGTTTAGATGTCTTGCCATTAATTTTCCTATTCCTCCTTTAATTTTTAATTATGAGTATATACCATGTTTCCCCAAAAATAAGACAGGCATATAAAAATATTTATTTTTCCTCAAGAAGACACCCTAGGGCCTATTTTCAGGGGATGTGTTATTTTGTCCTCAAAGCTTCAGCTTGCAGCACACACAGGATGGCCGGGACCTGCCGGGGGAAGCCGACCTGGTTGGTGGGGCTGCCTGTCACCTCTGGGATAGTAGCTGTCATGATGGGGCGGATGAGAAGGGCTGCTCGTGTTCTTTCCCGCTCCGCGACAACATGCGTGGGTTGTGCAGATGCGCTGTGCAG